GGGCTCCAGTGCTCCCAGTGCTCCCAGTGCAGTGCAGGCTCCCAGTGCTCCCAGTGCTCGTGGGGCTCCCTCCCAGTGCCCCCAGTGCCAGAATCCCAGTGCCCCCAGTGCCAGTGCTCCCGGTGTCCCCAGTGCTCCCAGTTCCCCAGTGCCAGAGTCCCAGTGCTCCAGTGCAGTGCAGGCTCCCAGTGCTCCCAGTGCCCCCAGTGCCCTGATCCCAGTGTTCCCAGTGCCCCCAGTCCCAGTTCTCCCAGTATCCCCAGTGCCAGAATCCCATTGCTCCCAGTGTCCCCAGTGCTCCCAGTGCCAGAATCCCATTGCTCCCAGCGCTCCCAGCACTCCCTGCCCTCCCAGTTCAGGCTCCCAATGCTGCCAGTTCAGGCTCCCAGTGCTCCCAGCCCCCCCCAGTTCAGACTCCCAGCATTTCCAGCACTCCCAGTTCAGGTTCCCAGCACTCCCCAGCCTCCCCAATTCAGCTCCCAGTGCTCCCAGTGCTCCCAGTTCAGCTCCCAGCACTCCCAGCATTCCCAGTTTAGCTCCCAGTCCCCCCCCGGTTCAGACTCCCAGCATTTCCAGCACTCCCAGTTTGGGCTCCCAGTGCTCCCAGTTCAGCTCCCAGTGCTCCCAGCACTCCCAGCCTCCCCAATTCAGCTCCCAGCACTCCCAGTGCTCCCAGCACTCCCAGTTCAGGTTCTCAGCACTCCCAGTCGCCCCAGGTCAGCTCCCAGTGCCCCCAGTGCTCCCAGAGCTCTCAATTCAGCTCCCAGCTCCTCCCCAGTTCAGACTCACAGCATTTCCAGCACTCCCAGTTTGGGCTCCCAGTGCTCCCAGCACTCCCAGTTCAGGCTCCCAGCACTCCCAGTTCAGGTTCCCAGCCCCCCCAGCCCCCCCAGTTCAGCTCCCAGTGCTCCCAGCATTCCCAGTTCAGCTCCCAGCCCCCCCCGGTTCAGAATCCCAGCATTTCCAGCACTCCCAGTTCGGGCTCCCAGTGCTCCCAGTTCAGCTCCCAGTGCTCCCAGCATTCCCAGTTCAGCTCCCAGCCCCCCCCGGTTCAGAATCCCAGCATTTCCAGCACTCCCAGTTTGGGCTCCCAGTGCTCCCAGTTCAGCTCCCAGTGCTCCCAGCACTCCCAGTTCAGGTTCTCAGCACTCCCAGCCCCCCCAGTTCAGCTCCCAGCACTCCCAGTGCTCCCAGCATTCCCAGTTCAGCTCCCAGCCCCCCCCAGTTCAGACTCCCAGCATTTCCAGCACTCCCAGTTCAGCTCCCAGTGCTCCCAGCACTCCCAGTTCAGGTTCCCAGCACTCCCAGCCCCCCCAGTTCAGCTCCCAGTGCTCCCAGTCCTCCCAGTTCAGTTCCCAGCCCCCTCCAGTTCATATTCCCAGCATTTCCAGCACTCCCAGCCCCCCCACTTCAGCTCCCAGTGCTCCCAGTGCTCCCAGTTCAGATTCCCAGTGCTCTCAGCCCCCCCACTTCAGCTCCAGTGCTCCCAGTGCTCCCAGTTCAGCTCCCAGCACTCCCAGCACTCCCAGTTCAGGTTCTCAGCACTTCCACCCCCCCCCCCCCCCCCCCCATTTCAGCTCCCAGTGCCCCCAGTTCAGTTCCCAGTACTCCCAGCCCCCCAGTTCAGACTCCTAGCATTCCCAGCACTCCCAGTTTGGGCTCCCAGTGCTCCCAGTTTGGGCTCCCAGTGCTCCCAGTGCTCCCAGTTTGGGCTCCCAGTGCTCCCAGTGCTCCCAGTTTGTGCTCCCAGTGCTCCCAGCCATCTCCCCCAGGGTACAACATCTCGGCGCTGGTGACCGTGGCCACCAAGACGTTCCTGCGCTATGACAAACTGCGGGGCCTCATCGCCAGCATCCGCCGCTTCTACCCCTCCGTCACCATCGTGGTGGCCGATGACAGCCAGAGACCCGAGCCCCTGGCAGGGCCACACCTGGAGCACTACCTCATGCCCTTCGGCAAGGTGGCACCTCGGGGACAGGGCAGGGGACACGGGATGGGCAGGGACACCCGCAGGGGACAAAAGATGGGCAGGGACACAGACAGGGGACATGGGAGGGTGGCAGGGACACAGACAGAGACACAAGATGGTGGCAGAGACCCCAGACAGGGGACATGGGAGGGACAGGGACACCCACAGGGGACACGGGAGGTGGCAGGGACACAGACAGGGGACACGGGATGGGCAGGGACACAGACAGGGGACATGGGATGGACAGAGACACCCACAGGGGACATGGGAGGGTGGCAGAGACACAGACAGGGGACATTGGATGGACAGGGACACCCACAGGGGACCTGGGAGGGTGGCAGGGACACAGACAGGGGACACAAGATGGGCAGGGACACACGCAGGGGACACAGACAGGGGACACGGGAGGGTGGCAGGGACACAGAACAGGGAACGCGGGAAGGTGGCAGAGACACAGACAGGGGACACAAGATGGTGGCAGAGACCCCAGACAGGGGACATGGGAGGGACAGGGACACCCACAGGGGACACGGATGGGCAGGGACACAGACAGGGGACATGGGATGGACAGGGACACACGCAGGGGACACAGACAGGGGACACGGGAGGGTGGCAGGGACACAGATAGGGGACATGGGATGGACAGGGACACCCACAGGGGACCTGGAAGGGTGGCAGGGACACAGACAGGGGACACAAGATGGGCAGGGACACAGACAGGGGACATTGGATGAGCAGGGACCCACACAGGGGACAGGGGAGGGGCAGGGACCCAGACAGGGGACACAGGAGGGTGGCAGGGCTGGGGGATCCTGGGGAAGGGAAGATGGGGTCCATCAGGGCTGGGGTCCCCGGGGATGGGGGACACAGGGGGACCTTGGAGAAGGGGGACACGGGGGGATCCCAGGATGGGCACACGGGGTCTGTCAGGGCTGTGGTACCCAGGGATGGGCACACGGGGTCAGTCAGGGCTGTGGTACTCAGGGATGGGCACACGGGCTCTGTCAGGGCTGTGGTACCCAGGGATGGGCACACGGGGTCTGTGGTACCCAGGGATGGGCACACGGGGTCTGCCAAGGCTGTGGTACCCAGGGATGGGCCACACGGTACCCAGGGATGGGCACACGGGGTCAGTCAGGGCTGTGGGGTCCCAGGATGGGCACACGGGGTCTGTGGTACCCAGGGATGGGCACACGGGGTCTGTCAGGGCTGTGGGGTCCCAGGAAGGGCACACGGGGTCAGTCAGGGCTGTGGTACCCAGGGATGGGCACACGGGGTCTGTCAGGGCTGTGGTACCCAGGGATGGGCACACGGGGTCTGTGGTACCCAGGGATGGGCACACGGGGTCTGCCAGGGCTGTGGTACCCAGGGATGGGCACACGGTACCCAGGGCTGGGCACACGGGGTCTGCCAGGGCTGTGGGGTCCCAGGGATGGGCACACGGGGGCTGTGGTACCCAGGGATGGGCACACGGGGTCTGTCAGGGCTGTGGTACCCAGGGATGGGCACACGGGGTCTGTCAGGGCTGTGGGGTCCCAGGATGGGCACACGGGGTCTGTCAGGGCTGTGGTACCCAGGGATGGGCACACGGGGTCTGTGGTACCCAGGGATGGGCACACGGGGTCTGCCAGGGCTGTGGGGTCCCAGGGATGGGCACACGGGCTCTGTCAGGGCTGTGGTACCCAGGGTTGGGCACATGGGGTCTGTCAGGGCTGTGGGGTCCCAGGATGGGCACACGGGGTCTGTCAGGGCTGGGGGTTCTGGGATGGGCACACGGGGTCTGTCAGGGCTGTGGGGTCCCAGGATGGGCACACAGGGTCTGTCAGGGCTGTGGTACCCAGGGAAGGGCACACAGGGTCTGTCAGGGCTGTGGTACCCAGGGATGGGCACACGGGCTCTGTCAGGGCTGTGGGGTCCCAGGGATGGGCACACGGGGTCAGTCAGGGCTGTGGTACCCAGGGATGGGCACACGGGGTCTGCCAGGGCTGTGGGGTCCCAGGGATGGGCACACGGGGTCAGTCAGGGCTGTGGTACCCAGGGATGGGCACACGGAGTCAGTCAGGGCTGTGGGGTCCCAGGGATGGGCACACGGGGTCTGTGGTACCCAGGGATGGGCACACGGGGTCTGCCAGGGCTGTGGGGTCCCAGGGATGGGCACACGGGGTCAGTCAGGGCTGTGGTACCCAGGGATGGGCACACGGGGTCAGTCAGGGCTGTGGTACCCAGGGATGGGCACACGGGGTCAGTCAGGGCTGTGGTACCCAGGGAAGGGCACACGGGGTCAGTCAGGGCTGTGGTACCCAGGGATGGGCACACGGGGTCTGTGGTACCCAGGGAAGGGCACACGGGGGTCTGCAGGGCTGTGGTACCCAGGGACGGGCACACGGGGTCAGTCAGGGCTGGGGGATCCTGGGGTCTGTCAGGGCTGTGGGGTCCCAGGATGGGCACACGGGGTCTGTGGTACCCAGGGATGGGCACACGGGCTCTGCCAGGGCTCAGGGTGGCACCGCGGGCACTGCGGGTGCGGGGGCCGTGCCCGAGGCTCTGCGCTGCCCCCCCTGGCAGGGCTGGTTCGCCGGGAGGAACCTGGCGGTGTCGCAGGTGACCACCAAGTACGTGCTGTGGGTGGACGATGATTTCATCTTCACGGCCCGCACGCGGCTGGAGAAGCTGGTGGATGTGCTGGAGAGAACCAGCCTGGACCTGGTGCGGGCACGGCGGGCACCGGGGGGCACGGGGGGTGGAGGGTACAGGGGGCATGGGGGGCTACAGGGGGCATGGGGACATGGGGGGTACAGGGGTACAGGGGGGCACCGGGGGTGAGGGGCACCGGGGGGGCTCCAGGGGTAATGGGGGGCATGGGGAAGGGGGGGCTTCAGGGGCATGGAGGGGCATGGGGGGGCACGGGTGGGTACAGGGGGTACCGGGGGCTGCAGGGGGCACCGGAGGGCACGGGGAGCAGGGGGTATGGGGGGCTGCACGGGGGGCATAGGGGGTGGAGGGTACAGAGGGCTGCAGGGGCACCGAGGGGCACGGGGGGGCATGGGGGGTATGGGGGGTACAGGGGGCACCGGGGGCTGCAGGGGGCACGGAGGAAGGGGGTGCCACAGGCAGGGCCCTGTGGTTCCTGTGCCCAGTCCCAATGCCCAGGTGGGGGCTCGGGGGGGTCCTGGTGCCCAGGTGCTGGCACAGCCCCATCCCATCCCATCCCATCCCATCCCATGGATCCCATCCCACCCCATCCCATCCCATCCCATCCCATCCCATCCCATCCCATGGATCCCATCCCATCCTATCCCATCCCATGGATCCCATCCCATCCCATCCCATCCCATCCCATCCCATCCCATCCCATCCCATCCTATCCTATCCCATCCCATCCCATGGATCCCATCCCATCCCATCCCATCCCACCCCATCCCATCCCATCCCATCCCATCCCATCCCACCCCATCCCATCCCATCCCATCCCATCCCATCCCATCCCATCCCATCCCATCCCATCCCACCCCATCCCATCCCATCCCATCCCATCCCATCCCATCCCATCCCATCCCATGGATCCCATCCCATCCCATCCCATGGATCCCATCCCATCCCATCCCATCCCATCCCACCCCATCCCATCCCATCGCATCCCATCCCATGGATCCCATCCATCCCATCCCATCCCATCCCATCCCATCCGATCTGGGCAATGCCAGGCGCTCCCGGATGCTCCTGGGCGGTCCCGGGGGTCTCTGAGGGGTCCCGGGCGGTCCCAGGGGTCCCTGGGGGGTCCCGGGTGTCCCCCCAGGCGTCTCTGGGGGGTCCCTGTCAGTCCCGGCTGTCCCGGGCGATCTCAGTGCTCCCGTGGGTCCCGGGCGTTCCTGGGGGTCCCGGGCTGTCCTGGGCTGTCCTGGGCGATCCAGGCGGTCCCAGCCGATCCCGGTCGATCCCGGTGGTCCCGTGCAGTCCGGCCGATTCGGGCGGTCCCCGGTGCTCCCATGGATCCCGACCTGTCCCCGGTCGACCCCATAGCCCCTGGTGGTTCCGGGCTGTCCCGGGCTATCCCAGTGCTCCCGGTGGTCCCGGCCGCTCCCCGTGCTCCCGTGTGTCCCGGCTATCCCGGGCAGTCCCGGCCGCTCCCGGTGGTCCCGGGCAGTCCCGGGCAGTCCCGGCCGCTCCCGGTGCTCCCGTGGGTCCTGGGCTATCCCGGGCAGTCCCGGTGCTCCCGTGGGTCCTGGGCGGTCCCGGCCGCTCCCGGTGGTCCCAGGCAGTCCCGGGCAGTCCCGGCCGCTCCCGGTGCTCCCGTGGGTCCCGGGCAGTCCCGGCCGCTCCCGGTGCTCCCGTGGGTCCTGGGCTATCCCGGGCAGTCCCGGGCCGTCCCGGCCAGTCCGGGCAGTCCCGGCGGTCCCAGTGCTCCCGTGGGTCCCGGGCTATCCCGGGCAGTCCCGGCCGCTCCCGGCGGTCCCGTGTGTCCCGGGCAGTCCCGGGCAGTCCCGGCGGTGCCGGTGCCCCCTCCCCACGGCGGCGCTGTGCCCGCAGGTGGGCGGCGCGGTGCGGGAGATCACCGGTTACACCACCACGTACCGGCAGCGGCTGAGCGTGCGCGGGGGCGGCGCGGGCGGGGATTGCCTGCGGACCCGGCCCGGCTTCCACCACCGCCTCGCCGGATTCCCCGCCTGCGTGGTCACCGACGGCGTCGTCAACTTCTTCCTGGCCCGCACCGACAAAGTGCGCCAGGTGGGCTTCGACCCCCGCCTGCGCCGCGTGGCGCACCTCGGTGAGCGCCGGGAAAACGGGAACGGGGCTGGGGGGGCCCGAGGGGGCTGGGGGCGCCTGAGGGGGGCTGGGGGGGCCTGAGGGTTTGGGGGGTCTGGGGGGTTTGGGGGGTGCCCGAGGGGGCTGGGGGTGCCTGAGGGGTTTGGGGGTGCCTGAGGGGCTGGGGGGTCTGGGGGTCTGGGGGGTTTGGGGGGTCTGGGGGGCTGGGGGTGTCCAAGGGGGCTGGGGGTGCCTGAGGGGTTTGGGGGTGCCTGAGGGGTTTGGGGGTGCCCTAGGGGCTGGGGGTGCTGAGGGGTTTGGGGGGTCTGGGGGGTTTGGGGGGTCTGAGGGGTCTGGGGGTGCCCGAGGGAGCTGGAGGGGCCTGAGGGGGCTGGGGGTGCCTGAGGGGTTTGGGGGGTCTGGGGGAGCTGGGGGTGCCCGAGGGGGGCTGGGGGTCGGTCTAAGGGGGTCCCAGAGGGATGCCCGAGGGGTCTGGGGGCGCCTGAGGGGTTTGGGGATCTGGGGGAGCTGGGGGTGCCTGAGGGGGGCTGGGGGTGCCTGAGAGGTTTGGGGGGTTTGGGGGTTTGGGGGGTCTGGGGGTCAGTCTAAGGGGGGTCCCAGAGGGGTCCCCAAGGGGTCTCTGGGTGTCTGAGGGAGCTGGGGGGTATGGAGAGGCCGGGGGTGCGTGAGGGGGTTTGGGGGGGCTGGGGGTCACTCTAAGGGGGTCCCAGGGGGTGCCTGGGGGGGCTGGGGGTGCCCGAGGGTTTGATGTGGCCTTGGGGGATCAGTGTAAGGTGGTCCCGAGGGGTTTGGGGGTCAGTCTAAGAGGGTCCCAGAGGGATCCAGAGGGGTCCTGGGGATGCCCGAGGGGTCTGGGGATCAGTCTGAGGGGTCCCGGAGAGGTCTGTGGGGTCTGGGGTCAGTCCTGGGGTGCTCAGGGGGTCTGGGGTCAGTCTAAGGGGTGCCAGAGGGGTCCTGGGGTGCCTGAGGGGTCTGGGGTCCCGAGGGGTCTGGGGGCTCAGTCTGAGGGGTACCAAAGATAAGGGGGGTGCTGGGGTCCCCCATAATTCAAAACGTCAGAGATGAGGGAGGATCCTGGGGTACCCCCCAATTCAGGGGGTCATAGATAAGGTCATAGACCCCCACAATTTGGGGGGTCAGAGATAAGGGGGGTGCTGGGGTCCCCCACAATGGGATCAGGGATATGGGGGGTGCTGGGGTCCCCCTCAATGGGGTCAGGGATATGGGGGGTGCTGGGATCAGAGACACTGGGGTCAGGGATAAAGGGGGTGCTGGGGTCCCCCACAATGGGATCAAGGATTAGGGGGTGCTGGGGTCTCCCACAATGGGATCAGGGATTAGGGGGGTACTGGGGTCCCCCATAATGGGATCAGGGATACAGGGGGTGTTGGGGTCCCCCTCAATGGGATCAGGGATTAGGGGGTGCTGGGGTCCCCCACAATGGGATCAGGGGGTCAGAGCTAAGGGGGGACACTGGGATCCCCCCCCCATGGCCCCACGGGGATCAGGGTCAGGCCCAGGCACCCCAGGCCACCTCTGAGCCCATTTTTGGGGGTACCCCCTGTGCCTCCCTCCCCCAGAATTCTTCATCGACGGCCTGGGGGTGCTGCACGTGGGCTCGTGCGAGGACGTGGTCGTGGACCACGCGTCCAAGCTGGCGCTGCCGTGGCGGCGCTCGGAGGTGGGGAGCGCCAGTACAACCGCTACCGGTACCGGCCGCCCGCGACGACAGCGTGCGCCTCAAGCAGCGCCTCTTCTTCTACAAGAACCGCTTCAAGTGCATGGCCGGCGACTAGCGGGGACACCGGGACACCGGGGACACCGGGGACACCGGGCGGGGACACCGGGACACCGGGGACACCAAGGACTCCGGGCTGGGGACACCGGGGCTACCCCGGGCTGGGCCAGCAGGCACGGGACACCCCGGGGACACCGGGCATGGTCGCCAGGCAGGGACACCGGAGCTACTGGGGCCACCAGGCAGGGACACCGGAGACACCACGGTCACCAGGCGGGGTCACCCTGGAGCCACCGAGCGGGGACACCTTGGGGACACCGGAGCCATTGGGGACACCCCAGGGACACTGGGCATGGTCACCAGGCAGGGACACCGGAGCTACCGGGGCCACCAGGCAGGGACACCAGAGCCACCATGGTCACCGGGCAGGGTCACCCTGGAGCCATCAAGTGAAGACACTTTGGGGGACACCGGGCATGGTCGCCAGGCAGGGACACCAGAGCTACCGGGGCCACCAGGCGGCGTCACCCTGGAGCCATCGAGTGAAGACACCTCGGGGACACCAGGCATGGTCGCCAGGCAGGGACACCAGAGCTACCGGGGCCACCAGGCGGCGTCACCCTGGAGCCATCGAGCGAAGACACCTCGGGGACACCAGGCATGGTCACCAGGCAGGGACACCGGAGCCATTGGGGCCACCGGGGTGGCGTCACCCCAGGGACACTGAGCGGAGACACCCCAAGGACACTGGGGACACCAGGCAGGGCCACCGGGGACACCACGCCGGGACACCCCAGGGCCACCGGGCGTGGTCACCAGTCCTGGCCAGCCCTGGGCACCGCGGGGCCACCGGCACTGCCACCCCCAGCGGTGGTGACCATGCCTGGTGACACCAGGCCACCACCCCCCTGTGGGACACGCCAAGGACATCGCTGAGCCCCGGCCACTGCTGGCCAGCCCCTGGGTGCCACCGGGCTGCTGGAGCTGCGGTGGTGCCACCCCCGGGGGGGGTGACACAGAGGTGGCACCGGGTCACCACCCACAGGGAGGTCACAGGACGCGCCAAGGACATCGCTGAGCCCCGGGCTGCTGATCCCCCTGGCCACATCAAGGGTCACTGCTGATGGCCACCCTGCGGTGTCCCCAGAGCCACCCCCAGGGCCACCGACCCCTATGGGCCACCCCTGCGGTGTCCCCAGAGCCACCCCCAGGGCCACCGAGCCCAATGGGCCACCCCTGCGGTGTCCCCAGAGCCACCCCCAGGGCCACCAAGCCCAATGGGCCAGCCCTGCAGTGTCCCCAGACCACAACCAGGGGCCACTGGCCACATTTGGGTCACCCCCAGGGCCACCAACCCTAACGGGCCACCTCCTGTGGGCCACCCTGTGATGTCCCCAGAGCCACAACCGTGGCTACTCCATGGGCCACCATTCCAGGGCACCAACCCCAGGGCACCCCTGGGGTCGCTCTGCCCCCTTTGAGCCACCCCACGGGCCACCCCCACCCCCGGGGTGGCCACAGGGCCTCTGGGTGACACAGGGGTGGCAGCTCCAGGGCCACTGCCACCATGGGCCACCTCAAGAGTCACCGCCCCCATGCGCCACCATCTGTGGGACACCCCCAGGACCTCCCCCCGCCCTGTGGCCACGCCCGGGGTCATCCCCAGGGTCACCCCCAAAGTCACCCCCAAGGCCACCCCCGGGGTCACCCCCAGGGCCACCACTGAGTGCCACCCCACAGGGCCACCCCCAGGGCCACTGCCATGGGCCACCACCCAGTGCCACCAGACCGGGTCCCCATTGTCCCCCGCCCCCCCGCGGTGTTTTTAGCTCTTTTGTACTTTGGGGGGGGGGGGGGGGGGGGGTGGTGGTGGCAGGGTTCGTACCGGGTCCCCTCCCCTCTCCCTCCCCCCCCCCCCCGTTGTCCCCACTCCGTTTTCTACCGCCCGCCCCTCCCCCCGCTGCCGCCAGGATTTTTTGTGCCAAGTCTCGGCCCCTCCCCCCACCCCTCGGGACCCCCCGGGGTGGGTGGGGGAGGGGCTGGGGGAGGGGCTGCCCCCCCCCCGCCCTTTTCTACCCAATGGATGGTGAGATTTTAACAGCCCGAAATCGGCCTCGTGCTTCCGGAGCGGGGGAGGGGCTAGGGGGGTGGAGGGGGCTTAGAGGAGGGGCTATGGGGGTAGGAGGAGCTATGGGGGTAGGAGGGGTTTGGGGATAGGAGGGGCTTTGGGTTGGGAGGGGCTTGAGAGGTGGGTGGGGTTATGGGATGGGTGGGATTATGGGGTGGGTGGGGCACTGGGGATGGAGGGGCCTTAGGGATGGGAGGGGCTATAGAAGTGGAGGGACTTTGGGGGTGGGAGGGGCTTTGAGAATATGAGGAGCTTTGGGGATGGGAGGGGCTTTGGAGGTGGGAGGGGTATGGTGTGGGAGGAGCTATGGGGGTAGGAGGGGCTATGACAGTGGGAGGGGCCGTGGGGGTGGGAGGGGCTTTGGGAATGGGAGGGGGCCTGGGTTGGGAGGGGCTGTGGGGTGGGAGGGACTATGGGTGTGGGAGGGGCTTGGGGTGGGAGGAGTTATGGGAGTGGGAGTGGCTTTTGGGTGGGAGGGGCTTTGGGGTGGGCAGGGTTATGATGTGGGTGGGATTATGGGGTAGGAGGGGCTTTGGGGATGGGCGGGGCTACGGGTCTACAGGGAGAAGTGGGTGTGGTCGGCGGGAGTGGTCAAATGGGTGTGGTCTGGGTGTGGTCAGTGGGCGTGGTCAGCTGGGAGTGATCAATGGGTGTGGTCTGGGTGTGGTCAGTGGGCGTGGTCAATGGGAGTGACCAATGTGTGTGGTCTGGGTGTGGTCAGTGGGCGTGACCAGTGGGAGTGACCAATGGGTGTGGTCTGGGTGTGGTCAGTGGGCGTGGTCAGTGGGTGCGGTGGGCTGATGTCAATGGTGCGGTCCGCGGCACTTCCGGCGCGGCAGCCAATCAGCGCTCAGCGCCTCACGTGACCGCCGGCCCAAGATGGCGCTGCCCGTGGCCGCGGCCCGGGGGCCGCTCTGGCGCCTCGGCCCCGCTGCCCTGAGCCCCCCTCGGGGCCGGATTCCGCCGCCGCTCGCTCCGGCCGTGCCCAGGTGAGCGGGGACCCTCGCGGGGCTGGCCGGGTCCCGCTGCCCTCAGGGAGCCCCGAACACCCGCGGCCCCCCCGTTAAACACCGACCGAAACCGAGCGCTGTCCTGATTCCCCGCCAAACACCGCACCCCTTTACCCCCCTCGTCCTCTCCGGTTCCCCCCGTGTCCCCCCGCGCTGTTTCCGAGCCCTCTGTGCCCCCCGTTACCGCACCCCTTCTCCGTTACCGCGCCGCTGTTCCCTGCCGGTACCGCCCGGTACCGCCCTGCCGAGCACGGCCCGGGAATCCCGGAACCACCCGGGGCTCCTCAATCCCCCCGGGCCGCGATTCCCACCCCAGCCCTGCCCTGGGGCGTTCCCAGCTGCCCGTTCCCCCTCTCCGGGAGCCCCGAGCGCGGCCGGGGCTGACGCGGGGCTGGGGGAGCCGGTGAGTTCGGGGTTGACGCGGGGCTGACGGTGCCCGGTGAGTTCCGGGCTGACGCGAGGCTGCCGGTGCCCAGTGGGTTCAGAGCTGCGGGCACCGGTTCTCGGTGGGTTCAGTGCTGACGTGGGGCTGACGGTGCCCGGTGTGTCCGGTGCTGACCGGGGCTGCCGCCGCAGGTCCCCGGTGTGTTCGGGGCTGTCGGTGCCCGGTGTGTCCGGGGCTGACGTGGGGCTGGGGGATTCGGGGCCGCCGGTGCCGGTGTGTTCGGAGCTGCAGCCGCCGATCCCCGGTGTGTGCGGAGGTGACGCGGGGCTGCCGTGCCTGGTGCGTTCGGAGCTGGGGGCTGCCGGTGCCCGGTGTGTGCGGCGCTGCCGGTGCCCGGTGTGTGCGGCGCTGCCGGTGCCCGGTGTGTGCGGCGCTGCCGGTTCCCGGTGTGTGCGGCGCTGCCGGTGCCCGGTGGTGTGCGGCGCTGCCGGTTCCCGGTGTGTGCGGCGCTGCCGGTGCCCGGTGTGTTCAGCGCTGACCCGGGGCTGCCGCCGCAGGTCCCCGGTGTGTCCGGCGCTGCCGGTCCCCGGTGTGTCCGGCGCTGCCGGTTCCCGGTGTGTCCGGCGCTGCCGGTTCCCGGTGTGTTCGGTGCTGCCGGTTCCCGGTGTGTTCGGTGCTGCCGGTTCCCGGTGTGCCCGGCGCTGCCGGTGCCCGGTGTGCCCGGCGCTGACCCGGCGCTGCCGCCGCAGGTCCCCGCTGCGTTCCCCGGTGCGCTCGCTCTCCTCCCGCGCTGCCTCCCGCGCCCTCGTGGCCGCCGTGGCCGCCGCTGCCCGGCGGGTGAGCGCCGCTACGAGCGGTACCTGGAGAGGAGCTGGCCCCGCTTCTACCTCCTGCACAGCACCTTCAAAAACGGTCAGTGCCCAAAGGGGGACCCAAATGGGGACCAAAAAGAGGGGGCAGAAAGGGGGGGGTCTAAAAAAGGGGAGGCTCAAAGGGGGTCTAAAAAAATGGGGGACTGAAAGGGGGATCCTAAAAATGGGGGGCTCAAAGGGGGTCCTGAAAGGGGAGGTTTCAAAAAGGGGGGGACCGAAAATGGGGGTCCCAAAAAGGGGGGGCTCAAAGGGGGGTCCGAAAAGGGGGGTTAGAAAGAGGGGTCCAAAAAAAGGGGGTCCCAAAAAGGGAGTGCTCAAATTGGGGTCCTAAAAATAGGGGGCTCAAAGGGGGTCCCGAAAAGGGGGGACTGAAAGCGGGAGTCCCAAAAATGGGGGGGCTCAAAAAGGGGTCTGAAAAGGGGGAGCAGAAAGAGGGGCCCCAAAAAAGGGGATCTGAAAAGGGGGTGCTCAAAGAAAAGCCCCAAAAAAGGAGGGGGGGGCTGAAAGGGGGGGGGTCCTAAAAAGGGGGGGGTCCTAAAAAGAGGCAGCTCAAAGGAGGGGGGTTCAAAGGGGGGGGGGTCCCAGAAATGAGGGTCCTGAAAGAGGGGGGCTGAAAAAGGGGGTGCTCAAAGGGGGGGGGGGGGTGTCTAAAAAAGGAGGGATTGAAAGGGGGGGGGTCCCAAAAATGGGGGGGGGGGGGGGGGGGGGGCTGAAAGAGGGTGGGGTGTTCCAAAAATGGGTATCCCAAGAAAGAGGGGTGCTGATTTTTGGGTCCCAAATGGGGGGTCCGAGGGGGTGGGTCAAGAAAAGGGGGGTGTGAAAACGCCACTTTTTTTTTTGGGGTGTTCTAAAAAGGGTGTGTCCCAAGGGATGAGTGCTGAAAAAGGGGAGCGCAAACATCTGGGTCCCAAATGGAGTCCTAGGGGATGGGTCCAAAACAATGAATGGGTCTGAAAGGGGGTGGGGTGTTCCCAAAAAGGGGTATCTTTTCCAAAAAGGGGTCCCAGGGGGTGGGTCAGGAAAAGGGGGTGTGGAAAACCCACTATTTTGGGGGTGTTCTAAAAAGAGGTGTCCCAAGAAGTGGGGAGTTCAAACATGTGGGTCCCAAGAGGTGAGCCCAAAAAAGGGGGTTTGAAAGAGGGTGGGATGTTCCAACAAGAGGTGTCCCAAGGAAAAGTGTTGCTGGTGGGGGAGTGTGAATGTCTGGGTCCCCAAAGAGGTCCCAGCTGTCAGAAGGAGGAGTTTTGGAGTGGGGCAGTGGCTGCAGCAGCCATCCCTGCCTGGGGGCTGTGCTCCTGAGGGAGCCCTGTCCCTGCAGGGGTGCAGGCGCTGTTCCTGGAGGTGCAGGAGATCAGGAGGATCAGGGCCAGGATGGCCCAGCTGCAGCTGAGCCCGCAGCAGCTCCCGTACAGGGACATGGAGCGCCTGCGCCAGGTCAGCTGGGACCCCCTGCACCATCTCTGCTTCATCTCTGCTTCATCCCTGCTTCATCCCTGCTTCATCCCTGCTTCATCCCTGCTTCATCTCTGCTTCATCTCTGCTTCATCCCTGCTTCATCTCTGCTTCATCTCTGCTTCATCCCTGCTTCATCTCTGCTTCATCTGCCCTCTGCCTCATCCCTGCCTCATCCCTGCCTCATCCCTGCCTCTCCCTGCCTCATCCCTGCCTCCCCTCAGCCTCATCTCTGCCTCCCTCAGCCTCATCCCTGCTTCATCTCTGCCTCATCTCCCCTCAGCCTCATCCCTGCCTCAGCTTCCTCTTGCCTCCCCTCAGCCTCATCTCTGCCTCCCCTCAGCTCATCTCTGCCCCTTTCTGCCTCACCTCTGCCTCCTCTCCCTTCTGCCCCATCCCTGCTCCCATCCCTGCTCCCATCCCTGCTCCCATCCCTGCTCCCATCCCTGCCCCATCCCTGCCCCATCCCTGCCCCCATCCCTGCCCCATCCCTGCCCCATCCCTGCCCCATCCCTGCATCCCCTCTGCCCCATCTCTGCCTCACCTCCCCTCTGCTTCCCTTCTGCCTCATCTCTCCCTCATCTCCCTTCTGCCTCCTCAGCCTCACCTCCCCTCTGCCTTCTCTCTGCCCCACCTCAGCCTCATCAGCCTCCCCTCAGCCTCCCCTCACCTTTGCTCCTCTGTCTCATCCCTCCTCTCTGCCCCATCTCTGCCTCACCCCTGCCTCCCCTCTGCCTCATCTCTGTGTCACCTCAGCCTCCCCTCTGCCCCCTTTCTGCCTCCCCTCTGCCTCATCTCTGCTTCATCTCTGCCCATCTTCCCTCTGCCCCATCTCTGCCCCACCTCAGCCTCATTTCTGCTTCATCTCTGGCTCCCCTCTGCCCATCTCTGCCCTCTTTTTGCCTCCTCTCTGCCCCATTTCTGCCCCATCTTCCTTCTGCCCTCCCCTCAGCCTCATCTCTGCCTCATCTCCCCTCTCTCTCACTTGTGCCTCCCCTCACCTCTGGCTCCCCTGTCTCAGCCCTCAGCCCTCCCTCCTGCCCCATCCCTGCCCCATCTCAGTGTCACCTCAGCCCAATCTCTGCCTCATATCCCCTCAGCCTCATCCCTGCCTCCCCTGTGCCCATCTCTGCTTCATCTCTGCCTCCCCTGTGCCCCATCTTTGCCTCATCTCACCTCAGCCTCCCCTCTGCCCCATCTCTCTCTGCCCCATCTCTCTCTGCCCCATATCTGCCCCCTTTCTGCCTCATCTCTGCCTCATCTCCCCTCGGCCTCATCTCTGCCTCACTTCTGCCTCCCCTCACCTCTGGCTCCCCTCTCTCACCCCTCAGCCCCATCTGCCCCATCCCTGCCCCATCTCAGCCTCATCTCTGCCTCATGTCAGCCTCGCTCCCTCTGCCCTCCCCTCAGCCTCATCTCTGCCTCCCTTTTTGCCTCCCTTTTTGCCTCCTCTCTGTCCCATGTCTGCCCCATCTCCCCTCAGCCTCATCTCAGCTTCCCCTCAGCCCCATCTTTCTGCCCCCATCTTTCTGCCCCCCCTTTCTGCCCCCCCTTTCTGCCCCCCATCCCTGCCCCCTCTGCCTGCAGGCAGCGGCTCCAGCCCCTCTGGGTCCCCTTCCCTGCCCAAACCCAGGCACTGGGAGCTGCACCCAGCCCCTGGGGAGGGGGAATTTGGTTTTTTTGGGGTTTTTTGGAGGCGGGTGCTGACGCTGTCCCCCCTGCCCCTGGGGCAGTTCCGCAGGGACGTGCTCAAGGCCATTCCATCGGGATCATCGCCATCCCCCCCTTCGCCAACTTCCTGGTGCTGCTGCTCATGTGAGTACCCGAGCCCCAAATTTTGTGTCCCAAACCCCAAAGCTGGCGTTTTGAAAGGCAGGAATCTCTCACTGTAAGAACAAATCCCAAATTCCCTGCAGTTGGGGTTTTTAGGGGCAGGAATCTCTCACTGTAAGAGCAAATCCCAAATTCCTGCAGTTGGGGATTTTAGGGGCAGGAATTGTCTTGGTGTGAGTATTGGGGTGTTTCTTGGGCTCCCTGAGCCCCAAATTCCCTGCAGTTGGGGATTTTAGGGGCAGGAATTGTCTTGGTGTGAGTACCCAGCCCTTCCTGGCTTGCTGAGCCCCAAATTTTGTGCAGTTGGGGTTTTTAGAGGCAGGAATTGCCTTGGTGTGAGTGCTGGGTTGTCCCCATTCTTGGGCTCCCTGAGCCCCAAATTTTCTGCAGTTGGGGTTTTTAAAGGCAGGAATCTCTCACTGTAAGAACAAATCCCAAATTCCCTGCAGTTGGGGTTTTTAGAGGCAGGAATTGTCCTGATGTGAGTACCCAACCTTCCCTGGGCTCCCTGAGCCCCAAATTTTGTGCAGTTGGGGTTTTTAAAGGCAGGAATCTCTCACTGTAAGAACAAATCCCAAATTCCCTGCAGTTGGGGATTTTAGGGGCAAGAATTGTCCTGATGTGAGTACCCAACCTTCCCTGGGCTCCCTGAGCCCCAAATTTTGTGCAGTTGGGGTTTTTAAAGGCAGGAATCTCTCACTGTAAGAGCAAATCCCAAATTCCCTGCAGTTGGGGTTTTTAGGTGCAGGAATTGTCCTGATATGAGTACCCAGCCCTGGGCTCCCCGAACCCCAAATTTTGTGTCCCAATCCCCAAAGCTGGCGTTTTGAAAGGCAGGAATCTCTCACTGTAAGAACAAATCCCAAATTCCCTGCAGTTGGGGTTTTTAGGGGCAGGAATCTCTCACTGTAAGAACAAATCCCAAATTCCCTGCAGTTGGGGTTTTTAGGTGCAGGAATTGTCTTGGTGTGAGTACCCAGCCCTGGGCTCCATGTCTCCCAAATTTTGTGTCCCAAACCCCAAAGCTGGCGTTTTTAAAGGCAGGAATCTCTCACTGTAAGAACAAATCCCAAATTCCCTGCAGTTGGGGTTTTTAGAGGCAGGAATTGTCCTGATGTGAATACCCAACCTTCCCTGGGCTCCCTGAGCCCCAAATTTTGTGCAGTTGGGGTTTTGAAAGGCAGGAATCTCTCACTGTAAGAACAAATCCCAAATTCCCTGCAGTTGGGGTTTTTAGGTGCAGGAATTGTCTTGGTGTGAGTACCCAGCCCTGGGCTCCATGACTCCCAGATTTTGTGTCCCAAACCCCAAAGCTGGTGTTTTTAAAGGCAGGAATCTCTCACTGTAAGAACAAATCCCAAATTCCCTGCAGTTGGGGATTTTAGGGGCAGGAATTGTCTTGGTGTGAGTATTGGGGTGTTTCTTGGGCTCCCTGAGCCCCAAATTCCCTGCAGTTGGGGTTTCTAGAAGCAGGAATTGTCCTGATGTGAGTACCCAGCCCTTCCTGAGCCCCAAATTCCCTGCAGTTGGGGTTTTTAGAGGCAGGAATTGTCCTGATGTGAACACCAGGGTGCCCTGAGCTCCAAATTCCCTGCAGTTGGGGTTTTTAGGGGCAAGAATTGTCCTGATGTGAGTACCCAGCCCCCCCTGAGCCCCAAATTCCCTCCAGTTGGGGTTTTTAGGGGCAGGAATCTCTCACTGTAAGAACAAATCCCAAATTCCCTGCAGTTGGGGTTTTTAGGGGCAGGAATCTCTCACTGTAAGAACAAATCCCAAATTCCCTGCAGTTGGGGATTTTAGGGGCAAGAATTGTCCTGATGTGAGTACCCAACCTTCCCTGGGCTCCCTGAGCCCCAAATTTTGTGCAGTTGGGGTTTTTAAAGGCAGGAATCTCTCACTGTAAGAACAAATCCCAAATTCCCTGCAGTTGGGGATTTTAGGTGCAGGAATTGTCCTGATATGAGTACCCAGCCCTGGGCTCCCCGAACCCCAAATTTTGTGTCCCAATCCCCAAAGCTGGCGTTTTGAAAGGCAGGAATCTCTCACTGTAAGAACAAATCCCAAATTCCCTGCAGTTGGGGTTTTTAGGGGCAGGAATCTCTCACTGTAAGAACAAATCCCAAATTCCCTGCAGTTGGGGTTTTTAGGTGCAGGAATTGTCTTGGTGTGAGTACCCAGCCCTGGGCTCCATGTCTCCCAAATTTTGTGTCCCAAACCCCAAAGCTGGCGTTTTTAAAGGCAGGAATCTCTCACTGTAAGAACAAATCCCAAATTCCCTGCAGTTGGGGTTTTTAGGGGCAAGAATTGTCCTGATGTGAATACCCAACCTTCCCTGGGCTCCCTGAGCCCCAAATTTTGTGCAGTTGGGGTTTTTAAAGGCAGGAATCTCTCACTGTAAGAACAAATCCCAAATTCCCTGCAGTTGGGGTTTTTAGGTGCAGGAATTGTCTTGGTGTGAGTACCCAGCCCTGGGCTCCATGACTCCCAGATTTTGTGTCCCAATCCCCAAAGCTGGCGTTTTGAAAGGCAGGAATCTCTCACTGTAAGAGCAAATCCCAAATTCCCTGCAGTTGGGGATTTTAGGGGCAAGAATTGTCCTGATGTGAGTACCCAGCCCTTCCTGGGCTTGCTGAGCCCCAAATTTTGTGCAGTTGGGGTTTTTAGAGGCAGGAATTGTCCTGATGTGAACACCAGGGTGCCCTGAGCTCCACATTCCCTGCAGTTGGGGTTTTTAGGTGCAGGAATTGTCTTGGTGTGAGTACCCAGCCCTGGGCTCCATGACTCCCAGATTTTGTGTCCCAAACCCCAAAGCTGGTGTTTTTAAAGGCAGGAATCTCTCACTGTAAGAGCAAATCCCAAATTCCCTCCAGTTGGGGTTTTTAGAGGCAGGAATTGTCCTGATGTGAGTACCCAGCCCTTCCTGAGCCCCAAATTCCCTCCAGTTTGGGTTTTTAGGGGCAGGAATTGTCCTGATGTGAATACTCAACCTTCCCTGGGCTCACTGAGCCCCAAATTCCCTGCAGTTGGGGTTTTTAGAGGCAGGAATCTCTCACTGTAAGAACAAATATTGTGGGAAATCCAGGACTCCTGAGCAAGTAACCAATGTGATCAAGCAGAAACCATTTATTGCTTACATTACACACATTGTAATTACACACAATTACACTTCTGGATTGCTGCCTTTGTCTGGTTCCCTCATTTTCTGCCTGCATTTCTCAGATTGAAGTGATTGGTTACAGTCCAAGTGTTTCACAGCCCTCTGTGATCCAGTTCTTGTGGTCCTGGGATTCTGTTTCTCAGCATCTTCTTTCATGATTTAGCACAATTTATGTTCTTGATATCTTAATATCTAGAGACACAGATCTTACAATCTCTGTTATCCACTTTTTGCTGTCCTGGTATTCAGTTTCTCAGCCTCTTCTTTTTAATGTAGCACCATTTGTGTTCTTAATATTTAATATCTCCATTATCCATTCCTTGCAGACTTGGTATTCAGTTTCTCAGGCTCTTCTTTCTTGATTTACCATAATTTATGTTCTTAATATTTTAATATCTTAATATTTTAATATTTCTGTTATCCAGTTCTTGCTGTCCTGGTATTCAGTTTCTCAGCCTCTTCTTTCATAATTTAGCAGAAATTATGTTCCAATGGCCTTGATGAGCTGAGTGCTGGATTGGCAATGCCAGCTCTGGGAGCTGAGTGCTGGATTCAGGAGGGTGTAAGAACTCCAAGGAAATCAAGGACACTCAAATTCCTGTGGCAGCTCCACTCACTGCCACTTCCAGCTCACATCCAGCCTCATTTCATGAAGAAAATTTCTGGATTAATGCAAATTCAGGGAGGGCAGAAATATCTCCAGATTAGAAAGAGCGAACCCCCCAGAATCCCTTGGAACCCCCTGGAACCCCCTGCTCTGCCTTTTCCTCACTGAATCCCCTCTCCTGCCTCTCCCCAGGTATTTCTTCCCTCAGCAGCTCCTGATCAGGCACTTCTGGATGCCCAGGTGGAGCTCCTGGATGCCTGAGGAGGAGATTCAGAGTTCTTAGACCTCCAAGAAAATCAAGGACACTCAAATTCCTGTGGCAGCTCCACTCACTGCCACTCCCAGCCCACATCCAACCTCATTTCACAAGGAAAACTTCTCCTGCAGGTTCAGGGAAGGCAGTGAATATTCAAATATCTCCAAAAAAGAAAGAGGGAACCCCCTGGAACCCCCTGCTCTGCCCTTCCCTCCCTGAATCCCCTCTCCTGCCTCTCCCCAGGTATTTCTTCCCTCAGCAGCTCCTGATCAGACACTTCTGGATGCCTGAGGAGGAGATTCAGGAGGGTTTAGGAACTCCAAGAAAATCAAGGACACTCCAATTCCTGTGGCAGCTCCACTCACTGCCACTCCCAGCTCACATCCAGCCTCATTTCATGAAGAAAATTTCTGGATTAATGCAAATTCAGGGAGGGCAGAAATATCTCCAGATTAGAAAGAGTGAACCCCCTGGAAACCCCTGGAACCCCCTGGAACCCCCTGCTCTGCCTTTTCCTCCCTGAATCTCCTCTCCTGCCTTTTCCCAGATATTTTCTTCCCTCAGCAGCTCCTGATCAGGCACTTCTGGATGCCCAGGAGGAGCTCCTGGATGCCTGAGGAGGAGATTCAGAGTTCTTAGACCTCCAGGAAAATCAAGGACACTCAAATTCCTGTGGCAGCTCCACTCACTGCCACTCCCAGCCCACATCCAGCCTCATTTCATGAAGAAAATTTCTGGATTAATGCAAATTCGAGGAGGGCAGAAATATCTCCAGATTAGAAAGAGCGAACCCCCTGGAAACCCCTGGAGCTCCCTGGAAGCCCCTGCTCTGCCCTTCCCTCCCTGAATCCCCTCTCCTGCCTTTTCCCAGATATTTTCTTCCCTCAGCAGCTCCTGATCAGGCACTTCTGGATGCCCAGGTGGAGTTCCTGGGTGCCTGAGGAGGAGATTCAGAGTTCTTAGACCTCCAAGAAAATCAAGGACACTCCAATTCCTGGGGCAGCTCCACTCACTGCCACTCCCAGCCCATATCCAGCCTCATTTCATGAGGGAAACTTCTCCTGGATTAATGCAAATTCGAGGAGGGCAGAAATATCTCCAGATTAGAAAGAGCGAACCCCCTGGAAACCCCTGGAGCTCCCTGGAACCCCCTGCTCTGCCTTTTCCTCCCTGAATCCCCTCTTCTGCCTCTCCCCAGGTATTTCTTCCCTCACCAGCTCCTGATCAGGCACTTCTGGGTGCCTGAGGAGGAGATTCAGGAGGGTCTAAAAACTCCAAGAAAATCAAGGACACTCAAATTCCTGTGGCAGCTCCACTCACTGCCACTCCCAGCCCACATCCAGCCTCATTTCATGAGGGAAACTTCTCCTGGATTAATGCAAATTCGAGGAGGGCAGAAATATCTCCAGATTAGAAAGAGTGAACCCCCTGGAAACCCCTGGAGCTCCCTGGAAGCCCCTGCTCTGCCTTTTCCTCCCTGAATCCCCTCTCCTGCCTTTTCCCAGATATTTTCTTCCCTCAGCAGCTCCTGATCAGGCACTTCTGAATGCCCAGGTGGAGTTCCTGGGTGCCTGAGGAGGAGATTCAGGAGGGTCTAAAAACTCCAAGAAAATCAAGGACACTCAAATTCCTGTGGCAGCTCCACTCACTGCCACTCCCAGCCCATATCCAGCCTCATTTCATGAGGGAAACTTCTCATGAAGTTTCAAGATTAATGCAAATTCGAGGAGGGCAGAAATATCTCCAGATTAGAAAGAGTGAACCCCCTGGAAGCCCCTGGAGCCCCCTGGAACCCCCTGCTCTGCCTTTTCCTCCCTGAATCTCCTCTCCTGCCTCTCCCCAGGTATTTCTTCCCTCGGCAGCTCCTGATCAGGCACTTCTGGACGCCCAGGCAGCAGCTGGAGTTCCTGGATGCCTACGACTGCCGCCGCAGGGCCTCGCACCCGGCCGTGCTGCGGGCGCTGGCGCGGGCAGCGCGCTCCCTGCCCCAGGCACAGCCCCAGCAGCTCCTCCTGCAGCTCTGTGACCAGGTCTGTGCCCCCACCACTGCCACACTGCGTGTTCTGGTTTAAAGGAAAACCACAGAGAGACTCCTGGTCAGAAATAGGATTTATTAGGAAAAGGGGAAAAAACACAAAGTAGGTGCGATAATGCAAAAGAAGAACCGCTGACAGGGTTAGTTGCACCCAGGATGAACCCAAAATGGTCAAAAAATGAGCCCAAGATGAACCCAAAAATGGTCAAAAAATTAACCCAAAATGGTCACAAAATGAGCCCAAAATGGTCACAAAAGAAAAACCGCTGACAGTTAGTTACACCCAGGATGAACCCAAAATGGTCACCAGATGAACCCAAAATGGTCAAAAAATGAGCCCAAGATGAACCCAAAATGGTCAAAAAATGAGCCCAAGAGGAATCCAAAATGGTCAAAAAATGAGCCCAAGATGAACCCAAAATGGTCAAAAAATGAACTCAAAATGGTCACAAAATGAGCCCAAAATGGTCACAAAAGAAAAACTACTGACAGAGTTAGTTAAACCCAAGATGAACCAAAATGGTCAAAAAATTAACCCAAAATGGTCACAAAATGAGCCCAAAATGGTCACAAAAGAAAAACCGCTGACAGTTAGTTACACCCAGGATGAACCCAAAATGGTCACCAGATGAACCCAAAATGGTCACAAAATGAACCAAAATGAACCCAAAGGTTCACAAAATGAACCCAAGATGAACCAAAATGAACCCAATGCGGTCAAAAAATGAACCCAAAATGGTCACAAAATGAACTCAAGATGAACCAAAATGGTCACAAAAAAAAAACCACTGCCAGTCAGAACCCAACCTGACACCCTGTGGGTCAGGGTGTTGGTATCAGTCCCATTGGAATTGTGGCTGCAGCCCTCCTGCAGTGTCAGGGGTGGTTCTGTTGGAGCAGGGATCCTGTAGGAAAGGGTGGAATCTTCCTCTGAAGATCCAGTGGAAGAGGCAGCTGCTGCTCCTCTGGGAAATCCAGTGGAGAAGCTGTGCTGGTGTCCCAGAATCTCCAGATTATATCTGGGTAGGAATGTTTGAAATCTCAGATTGTATCCAAGCAGGAATGTTTGAAATATCAGATTGTATCCAGGCAGGAATGTTTGAAATCTCAGATTGTATCCAGGTAGGAATGTTTGAAATCTCGGATTGTATCCAGGTAGGAATGTTTGGCTCCTCCCTCTGGGCAGAGCATCTCCCAGTGGGATGATGGAATTTTATCAGCCATGCAGGGACACTCCCTGGCCCACGAACAGCAGATAATTAATAATTAATGGCCCATGAACAGAAGATAGTAAATAATTAACCGCCCATTAACAGGAGATATCTCCTGGAGGGAGGATTGGTTGTGGAACAGATAAAGAAAACTGCCCCATGAACAGAAGATAACTGCCCCACCGCTAACAGATGGCAAATAGAATACACATTGCCCTGAGTTCACAAAATGAACCCAAAATGAACCAAAATGGTCACAAAATGGACCAAAATGGTCAAAAATGAACCCAAGATGAACCAAAATGGTCACAAAATGAATGCCCGGTCACGGGGTCTCTCACTTTTATAAGTTTTGCTCTGTTTGCATATTGGAATTAATTGTTCAATTACAGCTTTAGGTTATGAGGTCCCATTCTTCTTGGTTTTTTCTCCTCAATTCACCTTTATTTATGCTCCCATAAATTTATATTCCCATTCTTCTTGTTTTTTTCTCCTCAATTCACCTTTATTTATGCTCTTGGGCCTGAGATTTGGATTATTTGTCCTTGGTCCCCAGCTAGAGCAGGAATTGTTTTGTCTCCCTGCTCTGGCGAACAGAGCTCCCCATCCCATAATATGAAGCTCAGACCCATCCACTAAAGCAGCACAGAATGTGAAAAATGCCTCAAACCTGAGGCTTTGAGCTGTCTGAGGTGTCACCTGTGCTCTCCTGGGGCTCTTTCAGGTGCAGGGAGGTGCCCGGCCCCACCTGGCCCAGCTCCTGGCTGTGAGGAGTTTGTTCTCGGGCTCTCTGCTGGTGCTCAACAGGCTCCAGGTGGATCACGTGGTGAGTTCAGGTGTTCACCTGCTCAGGTGTGCCCCAAAACCAGCCCAGGGGCAGAGGGAAAGCTGCAGAGGTGCCCTGGGCTGGGTGGGATCTCCATGCCTGGGGGTATCTGGGGTCCTGGACACTGTGGCAGCAGGTGAGGGGGGCTCAGGTGAGACCCCATCTGCAGCTGGGGGGTGCCCCTGGCATTAGGAGGATGTGGAGCTGCTGGGAATGAATCCAGAGGGGGATTTGGGGAAGGAATTTCTCCCTGTGGAGGTGGGAAGGCACTGGGAGGGATTTCCCCATCCATGGAAGTGTTCTGGGATGGGTTGGAGCCAGGTGGGCAGGTGGAAGAGGCTGAATGGGCATTCAGGGGGTAATGGGATCATCTGAATGGGCTTCTGGTGGTCAGTCAGCTTCCAGAAGCTTCCATCTAACAATAGAACAGCATGGTCCAAAAAATGGTCAAAAATTGAACCCGAGATGAACTAAAATGATCAAAAAATGAACATGAGATGAGCAAAAATGGTCACAAAATGAACCCGAGATGAACCCAAAATGGTCACAAAGTGAACCCAAGATGAGCTGAAATGCTCAAAAAATGAACCCAAGATGAGCTAAAATGGTTACAAAATGAACCCAAAATGGTCACAAAATGAACTCAAGATGAACCAAAATGGTCAGAAAAGCACAGGGTGCTTTGTTTGGGTTTTTTGAAAGACGTGCTGCAAGCAGCAGGTTTAAAAAGAATATTTCACACTTTCTGCAGAGATTCGCTGCAGTGTGGTAAAGGTACCAAAAACCAGCAAAAAATTGAGTGATATCAGAAGCTCACAACTTCATGGCAATTGTCTTGGTTTGAAAAGCCAGGTGTCTGCTGAGGAAGGCAGGAGCCTCTACTGGAATGGAAAATGGAAACCCTCTCACTCTGAATTGTTATAATTTTGAAATTAAGGGGCTCCCAGGCAAAGAGAGGGGAGCAGGAATAACAGTTCTTTATTAGGGAAGAAAATTAAAATTAAAAAACCAATTAAAAATGAAATAAAAATAATATAAAACCAAAATTAAAATAAAATTTAAAAAACCCAAATAAAAATAAAAATAAAATAAAATAAAATAAAATAAAATAAAATAAAATAAACAGTGCAGTAATAGAAACCAACCCTGCCAGAGTGAGAGCAGGCCCTGTCCCCCTGTGTGTCAGGGTGGTGGCACAGCCCCATCCCATGGGGGCTCAGCCCTCCTGCAGTGCCAGCTGTGGTTCTGCTGGAGCAGGGATCCTGCACAAGGGGGGAGTTTTCCTCTGCAGCTCCAGGGCTGCTGGAGATGGATGCTCCAGGTAATACCAACCTCAGCCCTTCAGGTATTTCAGGCAAAAAAAACAGGAGAAAAGACAAAAAAAATTTGATTTAAATAACACCAGGGTGGGATCCAGGTGTGGCAGGTCCTGGCTCAGGTGACACCTGTGACAGTCTGGCCAATGCAGGGGGGCAGCACCACCCCAGAACTTCCCAGAACATTCTGGGAATGCAATGGAGGAGAAATCTGCTCCTCTGGGAATGCAGGGGGAAAGGCTGCTGGGGTGTCCCAAACCTCAGATTGTGTCCAGGTAGGAATGTTTGAAATCTCAGATTGTGTCTGGGTAGGAATGTTTGAAATCTCAGATTGTATCCAGGTAGGAATGCTTGAAACCTCAGATTAGATCCAGGTAGGAATGTTTGGCTCCTCCCCTGGGTGGAGCATCTCCCAGCGGGATGATGGAATTTTATCAGCCATGCAGGGACCCTCACTGGCCCATTAACAGAAGGTAATTAATAATTAATGGCCCATGAACAGGAGATATCTCCCTGGAGGGAGGATTGGTTGTGGAAGACATAAAGAAAACTGCCCAATGAACAGAAGAGAACTCTCCTAGCTCTAACAGATATCTTCTGTTCATGGGCCAGTAATTATTAATTACCTTCTGTTCATGGGCCAGGAAGGGTCCCTGCATGGCTGATAAGAATTACAGCATCCCATTGGGAGATGCTCCACCCAGGGGAGGAGCCAAACATCCTTACCTGGATACAATCTGAGGTTTCAAACATTCCTACCTGGACAGAATCTGAGATTTCAAACATTCCCACCTGGATCTAATCTGAGATTTCAAACATTCCTACCTGGACACAATCTGGTATTTCAAACATTCCTACCCGGATACAATCTGATATTTCAAACATTCCTACCTGGACACAATCTGGTATTTCAAACATTCCTACCCGGATACAATCTGAGATTTCAAATATTCCTACCTGGATAGAATCTGAGATTTCAAACATTCCTACTTGGATACAATCTGAGATTTCAAACATTCCTGCCTGGATACAATCTGAGATTTCAAACATTCCTACCTGGATAAAATCTGAGGTTTGGGACACCCCAGCAGCCTTTCCCCCCTGCATTCCCAGAGGAGCAGATTTCTCCTCCATTGCATTCCCAGAATGTTCTGGGAAGTTCTGGGGTGGTGCTGCCCCCCTGCACTGGCCAGACTGTCCCAGGTGTCACCTGAGCCAGGACCTGCCACACCTGGATCCCACCCTGGTGTTATTTAAATCAAATCCTTGGCTTTTATTGTCTTTTTTCCTGGTTTGTTTTTTTTTTTTTTTTTGCCTGAAACACCTGAAGGGCTGAGGTTGGTATTACCTGGAGCATCCATCTCCAGCAGCCCTGGAGCTTCAGAGCCTTGTGCAGGATCCCTGCTCCAGCAGAACCACAGCTGGCACTGCAGCAGGGCTGAGCCACCACTGTGACACTCAATTTTCTAAAATTTCAGATCTGAGCTTGCTGTTGCCAAACAGGTTCCTGTGCTGTCCATCCTTTAAAGGGAGGGTGGCAGAGACCTTGGGCATTGATTTTATTTCAAATTCACTCCTGCACCTGGGGAAGGACACCGTGCTGGGTGGGAAGGTGAGCAAAGAGAGCTGCAGGCACCCACAGGTGCTCCCCTTGTCGTGCACAGAGCCAGGTACTACCTGGAGCACCCATCTCCAGCCCCCCTGGAGCTTCAGAGCCTTGTGCAGGATCCCTGCTCCAGCAGAAGCACAGCTGGCCCTGCAGCAGGGCTGAGCCACCATTGTGGCACTCAAGTTTCTAAAATTTCAGATCTGAGCTTGCTGTAGCCCTGTGCTGTCCATCCTTTAAAGGGAGGGTGGCAGAGACCTTGGGCATTGATTTTATTTCAAATTCACTCCTCCACTTGGGGAAGGACACCTTGCTGGGTGGGAAGGTGAGCAAAGAGAGCTGCAGGTACCCACAGGTGCCCCCCTTGTCGTGCACAGAGCCAGGTATTACCTGGAGCATCCATCTCCAGCAGCCCTGGAGCTGCAGAGGAAAACTCCCCCCTTGTGCAGGATCCCTGCTCCAGCAGAACCACACCTGGCACTGCAGGAGGGCTGAGCCACTATTGTGACACTCAAGTTTCTAAAATTTCAGATCTGAGCTTGCTGTAGCCCCGTGCTGTCCATCCTTTAAAGGGAGGGTGGCAGAGACCTTGGGCATTGATTTTATTTCAAATTCACTCCTCCACTTGGGGAAGGACACCGTGCTGGGTGGGAAGGTGAGTGAGGAGAGCTGCAGGCACCCACAGGTGCCCCCCTTGTCGTGCACAGAGAGCCCTGAGCCAGGTATTACCTGGAGCACCCATCTCCAGCAGCCCTGGAGCTTCAGAGCCTTGTGCAGGATCCCTGCTCCAGCAGAACCACAGCTGGCCCTACAGCAGGGCTGAGCCACCATTGTGGCACTCAAGTTTCTAAAATTTCAGATCTGAGTTTGCTGTAGCCCTGTGCTGTCCATCCTTTAAAGGGAGGGTGGCAGAGACCTTGGGCATTGATTTTATTTCAAATTCCCCCATCCACCTGGGGAAGGACACCGTGCTGGGTGGGAAGGTGAGTGAGCAGAGCTGCAGGCACCCACAGGTGCCCTCCTTGTCCTGCACAGAGCCAGGTACTACCTGGAGCACCCATCTCCAGCCCCCCTGGAGCTTCAGAGCCTTGTGCAGGATCCCTGCCTCAGCAGAACCACAGCTGGCCCTGCAGCAGGGCTGAGCCACCATTGTGACACTCAAGTTTCTAAAATTTCGGATCTGAGCTTGCTGTATCAAAAACAACCCCTGTGCTGTCCATCCTTTAAAAGGAGGGTGGCAGAAATTTTATTTCAAATTCCCCCATCCACCTGGGGAAGGACACCTTGCTGACACTCAAGTTTCTAAAATTTCGGATCTGAGCTTGCTGTATCAAAAGCAATCCCTGTGCTGTTCATCATTTAAAGCGAGGGTCGCAGAGATTTTATTTCAAATTCCCCCATCCACCTGGGGAAGGACACTCTGCTGGGTGGGAAGGTGAGTGAGGAGAGCTGCAGGCACCCACAGGTGCCCCCCTTGTCCTGCACAGAGAGCCCTGAGCCAGGTGCTGTTCCTGACCCCTCACCTGCCCGCCTTCCTCCTGCGGCGCCGCCTGCGCAGCCACGTCCTGGAGATCCAGCACCTGGACCACGCCCTGCTGCACCTGGGGCTGGCACAGCTCTCTGAGGAGGAGCTCCGAGCGGTGAGCGCGCCTCAGCACACCCGTGCCAGCCTTGGGGCACCCCAGGTGGCACCTGCAGGGCCTGGGGCACGAGGCTGATCCAGTCTGGGGAAGGGTTTTTGGTGCACACCTGGGGTGGGGAAGGGTTCCTCACTTCTCTTCCTGTTGGTTTCTCTGGCCCCTTGACATGGTAGTTCATGTTTGGGCTCAAGTTATTATTTATTATATTTATTATTCTTCTTTATTATTTCTTAAATTATTATTTCTCTATGATTTCTTCTTTATTATTTCAGTAAAACAGCCTCACTACTGTGAGTTCAGCAGAAAGGCACAAAATGGCCACCAATGTTTTGTGACAAGGTCTTTTAAGACTAAATGATCCAATTAAGAGCTGACTCCTGGATTATTTTCCCTTTTAACTCAAGAACTGATCCCCTTTTGATACCTTGATTATTTCCCTTTTTTACCCAAGAACTGGTCCCAAAGAACTGATCCTTGGGCCACAAGGTTGATCCCTTCTGGGGAAGGGTTTTTGGTTCTGGGGTCACACCTGGGGTGGGGAAGGGTTCCTCACTTCTCTTCCTGTGCACTTGACATGGTAGTTCATGTTTGGGCTCAGGTTATTATTTATTATATTTATTATTATTGTTTATTATTTCTTAAATTATTTCTTAATTATTTCTTTTTTATTATTTCTTTATTATTTCTTCTTTATTATTTCTTAAATTATTATTTCTCTATTATTTCTTCTTTATTATTTCAGTAAAACAGCCTCACTACTGTGAGTTCAGCAGCAAGGCACAAAATTGCCAACAATATTTTGTTACAAGGTCTTTTAAGGCTAAATGATCCAATTAAGAGCTGACTCCTGGATTATTTTCCCTTTTAACCCAAGAACTGATCCCAAAGAACTGATCCCCTTTTGATACCTTGATTATTTCCCTTTTTTACCCAAGAACTGATCCCAAAGAACTGATCCATGGGACACAAAGTTGATCCAGTCTGGGGAAGGGTTTTTGGTGCTGGGGTCACACCTGGGGTGGGGAAGGGTTCCTCACTTCTCTTCCTGTGCACTTGACATGGTAGTTCATGTTTGGGCTCAGGTTATTATTTATTATATTTATTATTATTCTTTATTATTTCTTAAATTATTATTTTTTATAATTTCTTAAATTATTTTTTATTATTTCTTCTTTATTATTCCTTAAATTATTATTTCTTTATTTTTTCAGTAAAACAGCCTCACTACTGTGAGTTCAGCAGCAAGGCACAAAATTGCCAACAATGTTTTGTTGCAAGGTGTTTTAAGGCTAAATGATCCAATTAAGAGCTGACTCCTGGATTATTTTCCCTTTTAACCCAAGAACTGATCCCCTTTTGATACCTTGATTATTTCCCTTTTTTACCCAAGAACTGATCCCAAAGAACTGATCCTCGGGCCATGAGGCTGATCCAGTCTGGGGAAGGGTTTTTGGTGCTGGGGTCACACCTGGGGTGGGGAAGGGTCCTCACTTCTCTTCCTGTGCACTTGAGATGGTAGTTCATGTTTGGGCTCAAGTTATTATTTATTATATTTATTATTATTCTTTATTATTTCTTAAATTATTTCTTAATTATTTCTTGTTTATTATTTCCTTAATTATGATTTATTTATTATTTCTTCTTTATTATTCCTTAAATTATTATTTCTTTATTTTTTCTTTATTATTATTTCTTTACAATTTCTTCTTTATTATTTCTTAAATTATTATTTCTTTATTTTTTCAGTAAAACAGTCTCACTACTGTGAGTTCAGCAGCAAGGCACAAAATTGCCAACAATATTTTGTTACAAGGTCTTTTAAGGCTAAATGATCCAATTAAGAGCTGACACCTGGATTATTTTCCCTTTTAACCCAAGAACTCATCCCAAAGAACTGATCCACTTTTGATACCCGGATTATTTCCCCTTTTAACCCAAGAACTGATCCCCTTTTGACACCCGGATTATTTTCCCTTTTAATTCAATAACTGATCCCCTTTTGGCACCTGGATTATTTTCATTTTAACCCAAGAACTGATTCCCTTTTGACACCCGGATTATTTTCATTTTAACCCAAGAACTGATCCCCTTTTGGCACCTGGATTATTTTCATTTTTAACCCAATAACTGATCCCAAAGAGCCCCCAATGCAGATTTTTCTGCCCAATTACAAAATCCCACCCAAACCCATGAAGAAGCAGCCCAGGATGCCACCCTGTGCCCTCCATCTTGCCCACTAAAAACCCGCAAACCTCAATTTCTCACCTACACCGCTCTCTAGAATTTATTTCACATTTTTATGGGTTCCAGTCTAGCTTGAAGTTTAGGAAACTCTCCATGAGTGAGGGTCAAAGTCAGGGCAGCCCAGAGCAGACAGAGGAATATTCCCAGAGGGTTTCCACATCTCCCCCTCCCTGAGGGGTGCTGGGTGTCTGTGTGTCCGTCCCTGACCGTGTCTGTGTGTCCCCAGGCCTGTTTCCACATCTCCCCCTCGCTCAGGGGGTCCTGGTGCGTGGTGCTGGTGTCTGTATGTCCGTCCCTGACCGTGTCTGTGTGTCCCCAGGCCTGTTTCCACATCTCCCCCTCCCTCAGGGGGTGCTGGGTGTCTGTGTGTCCATCCCTGACCGTGTCTGTGTGTCCCCAGGCCTGTTTCCACATCTCCCCCTCCCTCAGGGGGTGCTGGTGTCTGTGTGTCCGTCCCTGACCGTGTCTGTGTGTCCCCAGGCCTGTTTCCACATCTCCCCCTCCCTCAGGGGGTGCTGGTGTCTGTGTGTCCGTCCCTGACCGTGTCTGTGTGTCCCCAGGCCTGTTTCCACATCTCCCCCTCCCTCAGGGGGTGCTGGTGTCTGTGTGTCCGTCCCTGACCGTGTCTGTGTGTCCCCAGGCCTGTTTCCACATCTCCCCCTCCCTCAGGGGTGCCTGGTGTCTGTGTGTCCGTCCCTGACCGTGTCTGTGTGTCCCCAGGCCTGTTTCCACATCTCCCCCTCCCTGAGGGGGTGCTGGTGTCTGTGTGTCCGTCCCTGACTGTGTCTGTGTGTCCCCAGGCCTGTTTCCACATCTCCCCCTCCCTCAGGGGGTGCTGGTGGGTGCTGGTGTCTGTGTGTCCGTCCCTGACCGTGTCTGTGTGTCCCCAGGCCTGTTTCCACATCTCCCCCTCCCTCAGGGGGTGCTGGTGGGTGCCTGGTGTCTGTGTGTCCGTCCCTGACCGTGTCTGTGTGTCCCCAGGCCTGTTTCCACATCTCCCCCTCCCTCAGGGGGTGCTGGTGGGTACCTGGTGTCTGTGTGTCTGTCCCTGACCGTGTCTGTGTGTCCCCAGGCCTGTTTCCACATCTCCCCCTCCCTGAGGGGGTGCTGGGTGTCTGTGTGTCCATCCCTGACCGTGTCTGTGTGTCCCCAGGCCTGTTTCCACATCTCCCCCTCCCTCAGGGGTGCCTGGTGTCTGTGTGTCCGTCCCTGACCGTGTCTGTGTGTCCCCAGGCCTGTTTCCACATCTCCCCCTCCCTCAGGGGGTGCTGGGTGTCTGTGTGTCCGTCCCTGACCCTGTCTGTGTGTCCCCAGGCCTGTTTCCATGTCTCCCCCTCCCTGAGGGGGTGCTGGTGGGTGCCTGGTGTCTGTGTGTCCGTCCCTGACCGTGTCTGTGTGTCCCCAGGCCTGTTTCCACATCTCCCCCTCCCTCAGGGGTGCTGGTGTCTGTGTGTCCGTCCCTGACCGTGTCTGTGTGTCCCCAGGCCTGTTTCCACATCTCCCCCTCCCTGAGGGGGTCCTGGTGGGTACCTGGTGTCTGTGTGTCCGTCCCTGACCGTGTCTGTGTGTCCCCAGGCCTGTTACCTGCGTGGGCTGAACTCCACTCACCTGGGCAGGGCCGAGTGCCAGGCGTGGCTGGAGCAGTGGCTCAGGCTCTCCTGTGAGCTCCAAGGTACCTCTGGGAGGGGGAGCACCCCAAAAACCTTCCCTGGGCACAGGAGTGGCACTGCTGGGCTGATTCGTCACCATCTGGGCTCACCCCCCTCACCTGTGCAGAGTCTGTGCCCGTGCCCATCCCAGTGCCCATCCCAGTGCCCATCCCAGTGCTCCCAGTGCCCATCCCAGTGCCCATCCCAGTGCCCATCCCAGTGCCCATCCCAGTGCTCCCCAGTGACCCCCTGTGCCTATCCCAGTGCCCATCCCAGTGCCCATCCCAGTGCCCATCCCAGTGCTCCCCAGTGACCCCTTGTGCCCATCCCAGTGCCCATCCCAGTGCTCCCCCTGTGCCCAGTTCTCCCCCCATGCCCATCCCAGTGCTTCCAGTGCCCATCCCAGTGCTCCCCTATGCCCATCCCAGTCTCCATTCCAGTGCTTCCAGTGCCCATCCCAGTGCCCATCCCAGTGCCCATCCCAGTGCTCCCCCTGTGCCCAGTTCTCCCCCCATGCCCATCCCAGTGCTCCCAGTGCCCATCCCAGTGCTCCCCCTTGTGCCTATCCCAGTGCTGGCCATGCCCATCCCATTGCTCCTTCCATGCCCAGCCCAGTGCCCCCAGTGCCCATCTCAGTGCCCCTCTGAGTGCTCCCCCAGTGCCCATCCCAGTTCTCCCCCATTTCCATCCCAGTGCTCCCCATTCCCATCCCAGTATTCCCCCTGTGCCCATCCCAGTCCTGCCCCAGTACCCATCCCAGTGCTCCCCATTCCCATCCCATCCCAGTGCCCATCCCAGTGCTGCCCCAGTGCCCATCCCAGTGCTCCCAGTCTGCCAGGTTCCTATTTCAGTGCTGCCCAGTCCCCCCAGAATCCCCCAGTGCCCCCCACAGGGCTCCCAGTCCACCCAGAACAACCTGTGCCCACCCCAGTGCCCACCCCAGTGTCCCCCAGTGCCACTCCCCTGCCAGTCCCAGCTCTCCCAGTGCCCCCAGTGCTGCCCAGTCCACCCAGAACCCCATCCATGCCCACCCCGGCCCCTGCAGTGCCCCCAGTGCCTGTGCCAGTCTCTCACGGTGCCCCCCAGTGCCACTCCCCTCCTAATCCCAGCTCCCCCAGTGCCCCCAGTGCCAGTCTCTGACGGTGTCCCAGTGCCCCCAGTGCCCCCGGTGCCCCCAGTGCCAGTCTCTCAGGGTGTCCCCAGTGCCCCCAGTGCCCCCAGTGCCAGTCTCTCACAGTGTCCCAGTGTCCCCAGTGCCAGTCTCTCAGGGTGTCCCCAGTGCCCCCAGTGCCAGTCTCTGACGGTGTCCCAGTGTCCCCAGTGCCCCCAGTGCCCCCAGTGCCCCCAGTGCCCCCAGTGCCCCCAGTAGCAGTCTCTCACAGTGTCCCTGTGTCCCCAGTGCCCCCAGTGTCCCCAGTGCCAGTCTCTCACAGTGTCCCCAGTGCCAGTCTCTCAGGGTGTCCCCAGTGTCCCCAGTGCCCCCCGTACCAGTCTCTCACGGTGTCCCCAGTGCCCCCAGTGCCAGTCTCTCACGGTGCCCCCAGTGCCCCCAGTGTCCCCAGTGCCCCCAGTGCCAGTCTCTGATGGTGTCCCAGTGTCCCCAGTGCCAGTCTCTCACGGTGCCCCTGTGCCCCCAGTGCCAGTCTCTGACAGTGCCCCTGTGTCCCCAGTGTCCCCTGTGTCCCCAGTGCCAGTCTCTGACGGTGCCCCTGTGCCCCCAGTGTCCCAGTGTTCCCAGTGCCAGTCTCTCACAGTGTCCCCAGTGCCAGTCTCTCAGGGTGTCCCCAGTGTCCCCTGTGTCCCCAGTGCCAGTCTCTGACGGTGCCCCTGTGTCCCCAGTGTCCCCTGTGTCCCCAGTGCCAGTCTCTCAGGGTGTCCCAGTGTCCCCAGTGCCAGTCTCTCACAGTGTCCCCAGTGCCAGTCTCTCAGGGTGTCCCCAGTGTCCCCTGTGTCCCCAGTGCCAGTCTCTCACGGTGCCCCTGTGTCCCCAGTGCCAGTCTCTGACGGTGTCCCTGTGTCCCCAGTGTCCCCTGTGTCCCCAGTGCCAGTCTCTCACGGTGCCCCTGTGTCCCCAGTGCCAGTCTCTCACGGTGCCCCCAGTGCCCCCAGTGTCCCCTGTGCCCCCAGTGCCAGTCTCTGACGGTGCCCCTGTGTCCCCAGTGCCAGTCTCTGACGGTGTCCCTGTGCCCCCAGTGCCAGTCTCTCACGGTGCCCCTGTGTCCCCAGTGCCAGTCTCTGATGGTGCCCCTGTGTCCCCAGTGTCCCCTGTGTCCCCAGTGCCAGTCTCTGACGGTGTCCCTGTGTCCCCACAGCCTCGGAAGCCTCTCTGCTGGCGCACAGCATGGTCCTGCTGGCCCTGGACCCCCGCCAGCCCCCGAGGGACATCCCCGAGGGACACCCCGGGGGGTGACAGGTGGCACCTGTGTGTCCCCCCCTCAGCTGGTACTGCCACAGTGACTCAGTGACCGGGGGGGTGACAGGTGGCACCTGCGTGTGTCCCCCCACCCCAGCTGGTACTGCCACAGTGACCCTGGGGGTGACAGGTGGCACCTGCGTGTGTCCCACCCCAGCTGGTGCAGTGACAGTGCCCTGAGTGACCCAGGATGTGACAGGGTGGCACCTGTGTGTCCCCCCCAGCTGGCACTGCCACAGTGACTCAGTGACTCTCAGGGGGTGACAGGTGGCACCTGCGTGTGTCCCCCCCCAGCTCAGGCTGTGCCCCCTTGTGCAGCCCCTGGCACAGCTGGCAGAGGTGGTGGCTTTGCTGGTCAGTAATTAACTGTGTCTTGTTAATTGTGGGGGGAGAGAGCGGCTCCCGGAGCTGGGGCTGTTCCTGTGGGACCTGCTGGAGGTTCCTGTGGGACCTTTTGGGTGTTCCCATGGGATTTTGTGGATACTTCCCATGGGGTTTTTGGGAGGTTCCTGTGGGATCTCCTGGATGTTTGTGTGGGATCTGGTGAATGTTCTCATGGGATCTCCTGGATGTTTGTGTGGAATCTCCTGGATGTTCCTGTGGGATCTGGTGAATGTTCTCATGGGATCTCCTGGATGTTCCTGTGGGATCTCCTGGAGGTTCCTGTGGGATCTCCTGGAGGTTCCTGTGGGATCTGGTGAATGTTCTCATGGGATCTCCTGGACGTTCCTGTGGGATCTGCTGGAGATGCCTGTGGGATATGTTGGATATTCCTCTGAGATCTTCTGGATGTTCCTGTGGGATCTGCTGGATGTTCCTGTGGGATCTGCTGGATGTTCTTGTTGGATCTGCTGGAGGTTCCTGTGGGATCTCTTGGATGTTCCTCTGAGATCTTCGGGATGTTCCCATGGGATCTTCTGGGTGTTCCTGTGGGATTTGGTGGATGCTTCCTTTGGGATCTTCAGGATGTTCCTGTGGGATCTTCTGGATGTTCCTGTGGAATTTGCTGGATTCCCATGGGATCTGCTGGATGCTCCTGTGGCATCTGCTGGAGGTTCCTGTGGGATCTGGTGGGTGTTCCTGTGAGACCTTCTGGATGTTTCTGTGGAATTTTGTGGATGATTCCCATGAGATCTTTGGGATGTTCCCATGAGATCTTCGGGATGTTCTTGTGGGATCTGCTGGAGGTTCCTGTGGGATCTGCTGGATGTTCCCGTGGAATTTGGTGGATGCTTCCTATGGGATCTCCTGGATGTTCCTGTGGGATCTCCTGGATGTTCCTGTGGGATCTTTGGGATGTTCCTGTGGGATCTCCTGGATGTTCCCGTGGGATCTTTGGGATGTTCCCGTGGGATCTCCTGGATGTTCCTGTGGGATCTTTGGGATGTTCCTGTGGGATCTCCTGGATGTTCCCGTGGGATCTGCTGGCCCTGGCTCCCTCCTGGACACTTTTCCCGGTTCTTTTCTCCACTGAACTGTCTTAAATGTCCCCGCCCTCCCTCGGGGGTTGAGCAGCACCCTGGAATTCCCACCGACCTCCCAGGCCCCTGTGGGATCTCCTGAGAGCCTTTTGGGCTTTCCTGGGATCCTTTTGGGATCTCCTGAGAACTGTTTTGGGGTTTCCTGAGAATCTTTTGGGGTTTCCTGAGAGCTTTTTGGGGTTTCCTGGGAGAATTTGGGTTTCCTGAGATCCTTTTGGGGTTTCCTGAGAATCTTTTGGGGTTTCCTGAGAGCTTTTTGGGGTTTCCTGGGAGAATTTGGGGTTTCCTGAGATCCTTTTTGGGTTCCCTGAGATCCTTTTGCCATTTCCTGAGAACCTTTTGGGGTTTCCTGGGAGAATTTGGTTTCCTGAGGTCCTTTTGGGGTTTCCTGAGAACTTTTTGAGGTCTCCTGAGAACCTTTTGGAATCTCCTGAGAGCCTTTTGGGATCTCTTGAGAGCCTTTTGGGGTCTCCTGGGAGCCTTTTGGGGTATCCTGAGAGAATTTGGGGTTTCCCAAGAGCCTTTTGGGATTTCCTGAGAACCTTTTGGGGTTTCTTGAGAACCTTTTGGGTCTCCTGAGATCCTTTTGGGGTCTCCTGAGAACTTTTTGGGCTTTCCTGAGAACCTTTTAGGGTTCCCTAAGAGCATTTTGGGGTTTCCTGGGATCCTTTTGGGGTTTCCTGGGATCCTTTTGGGGTTCTGGGGTGGCTGCAGCTGCCTCTGCTCCCCCCAGGGCTGGGCAGGGCCTTTTGGGGTTCCCAGGGCTGCGCCCCCAAATTCATCCCCCTTGAAGCCCCTTTGTCCTTTCCCCCCTTCATTTCCCACTCCAGCAACTTTAGGGTTCAGCTTTGGGGCCTGAGAATTCCTGGGAATTGACCCCAAACTGGGGGAACTGGGGGCTCCAATGGCTTTGGGGGTGACCCCCCCCCCCAAAAGAGGACACGGCCATGGGGACACCCCAAAAATTCCCTTTTTAAAGCATTTTTGGGATTTAAAGGGGTGGGAGCCACCCCCTTCCTCACCCTCCTGCTGGGTTTTGGGATTTTCAGAGCCCCCCCTTGAGAAATTCACTTTTCAGCCACAATTCAATTGAATTGAATCTTTTATTTTTATTTTTCCACCTCAGTATTCTCCTTAAATTCTGCATTTTTGTGAATTTCAAAGCCCCATTTTCACCCACAATTCACATCTCATTTTACCTTTTTTTAAATTTTTCCACTTAAATATTCCCCTTAAATTCCACATTTTTGTGAATTTCAGAGCCCCTCCTCGAGGAATTCACTTTTCAGCCACAATTCAATCGAATTGAATCTTTTATTTTTATTTTACCGCCTCAATATTCTCCTTAAATTCTGCATTTTTTGTGAATTTCAAAGCCCCTTTGAGAAATTCACTTTTCAGCCACAATTCACGTCTCATTTTACCTTTTTTTAAATTTTTCCACTTAAATATTCCCCTTAAATTCCACATTTTTGTGAATTTCAGAGCCCCTCCCTCGAGGAATTCACTTTTCAGCCACAATTCAATCAAATTTAATCTTTTATTTTTATTTTTCCACCTCAATATTCTCCTTAAATTCTGCATTTTTTGTGAATTTCAAAGCCCCATTTTCACCCACAATTCACATCTCATTTTACCTTTTTTTAAAATTTTCCACTTAAATATTCCCCTTAAATTCCACATTTTTGTGAATTTCAGAGCCCCTCCCTCGAGGAATTCACTTTTCAGCCACAATTCAATCGAATTGAATCTTTTATTTTTATTTTTCCACCTCAATATTCTCCTTAAATTCTGCATTTTTGTGAATTTCAAAGCCCCTTTGAGAAATTCACTTTTCAGCCACAATTCATGTCTCATTTTACCTTTTTTTAAATTTTTCCACTTAAATATTCCCCTTAAATTCCACATTTTTGTGAATTTCAGAGCCCCTCCCTCGAGGAATTCACTTTTCAGCCACAATTCAATCAAATTTAATCTTTTATTCTTATTTTTCCGCCTCAATATTCTCCTTAAATTCTGCATTTTTGTGAATTTCAAAGCCCCATTTTCACCCACAATTCACATCTCATTTTACCTTTTTTTAAAATTTTCCACTTAAATATTCCCCTTAAATTCCACATTTCTGTGAATTTCAGAGCCCCTCCTCGAGGAATTCACTTTTCAGCCACAATTCAATCGAATCGAATATTTTATTTTTATTTTTCCACCTCAATATTCTCCTTAAATTCTGCATTTTTGTGAATTGAGAAATTCACTTTTCAGCCACAATTCACATCTAATTTTACCTTTTTAAAAAAATTTTTCCACTTAAATATTGCCCTTAAATTCCACATTTCTGTGAATTTCAGAGCCCCTCCATCAAAGAATTCACATTTCACCCACAATTCACATCTAATTTTACCTTTTTTTTTTGGTTTTTCATTAAATATTGCCCTTAAATTCCACATTTTTGTGAATTTCAAAGCCCCCCCTTGAGGAATTCACCCATTTTCACCCACAATTCACGTCTCATTTTAGCTTTTTTAAAATTTTTCCACTTAAATATTCCCCTTAAATTCCACAATTTTGTGAACTTCCGAGCCCCTCCCTCGAGGAATTCACTCTTCAGCCACAATTCACATCTAATTTTACCAATTTTTTTCTTTTTCCACTTAAATATTCCCCTTAAATTCAGCATTTTTTTAGGAAAAATGAGCCCATTGTTAAATTGCCCATTATTTTTGGGCATGGTTGGGAAAAAAAATAAAATTGTAATTTTGAAGAGAAGCTTTGTATTCACAAAATTTGGGAAAATAAAAATGAAAAATCCATTGGGGGGGCTTGGAGGAATTTGAGGGGACATCTGGATTTAGGGGGACTCAAGGACCAGGATCTGGTGGATGAAGTCAAATAAAAATTATTTAAAAAATGGGAAAACGCCCTTGAAATGACTGAGATTTGGTGAAAGTGAATAAAATCTGGGAGTTCTGGGGGGTCACAGCTGGGGTCGCATCTGGGGTCACATCTGGGGTCACATCTGGGGTCACCCCCAGGCCAGGGTGGGGGAGCAGGGGATCCGTGGGGATCAAAAATACGGAAAATGGGGATTGTGACCCTCAGTCCTGTGTCACCTCTGAGCTGTTTGTCACCTTTGTGCCCTGTGTCACCTCTGTGCCCTGTGTCACCTCTGTGCCCTGTGTCACTCTCACTTCTGTCACCTCCCAGCCTTGTGTCACCCCTGTGTCACCTGTGAGCTCTTTGTCACCCCTCAGCCCTGTGTCACCTCTGTGCCCTGTGTCACCTCCCAGCCCCGTGTCACCCTTCAGTTCTGTGCCACCTCTGTGCCCTGTGTCACCTCTGTGCCCTGTGTCACCTCCCAGCCCTGTGTCACCCCTCAGCTCTTTGTCACCCCTCAGTTCTGTGTCACCTCTCAGCCCCGTGTCCCCTCTCAGTCCTGTCACCCCTCACCCCGTGTCACCTGTGTCACCCCTCAGTTGTGTCACCTCCCAGCCCCGTGTCACCTCCCAGCCCCATGTCACCCCTCAGTCCTCTGTCACTCCTTTGTCACCTCTGAGCCCTGTGTCACCCCCCAGCTCTTTGTCACCCCTCAGCCCTGTGTCACCTCTGTGCCCTGTGTCACCTCTCAGTTCTGTCACCTCCCAGCCCTGTGTCACTCCTTTGTCACCTCCTGGCCTTGTGTCACCCCTGTGTCACCTCTCAGCCCCGTGTCACCCCTCAGCTGTATCACTCTCACTTCTGTCACCTCCCAGCCCTGTGTCACCCCTGTGTCACCTGTGACACCCCTCAGTTCTGTGCCACCTCTGTGCCCTGCGTCACCTGTCTCAGTTCTGTCACCCCTCACCCCCGTGGCACCCCTGTGTCACCTCAGCCCTGTCACCACATCCTGGGTGGTGGCACAGGGACAGTGCCAGCCATGGGTGGTGGCAGAGGGACAGTGCTAGCCATCGGGGGTGACAAAGGGACAGTGCCAGCTCTGGGGGGTGGCACAGGGACAGTGCCAGCCCTGGGGACATGACACAGGGACAGTGCCAGCTCTGGGTGGTGGCAGAGGGACAGTGCCAGCCCTGGGTGGTGGCACAGGGACAGTGCCAGCTCTGGGTGATGGCACAGGGACAGTGCCAGCCATCGGGGGTGACAAAGGGACAGTGCCAACTCTGGGGGGTGGCACAGGGACAGTGTCAGCCCTGAGTGGTGGCACAGGGACAGTGCCAGCTCTGGGTGGTGGCACAGGGACAGTGCCAGCCCTGGGGACATGACACAGGGACAGTGCCAGCCATGGGTGGTGGCACAGGGACAGTGCCAGCCCTGGGTGGTGGCACAGGGACAGTGCCAACTCTGGGGGGTGGCACAGGGACAGTGCCAGCTCTGGGGAGTGACACAGGGACAGTGCCAGCCTTGGGGACATGACACAGGGACAGTGCCAGCCTTGGGTGGTGGCACAGGGACAGTGCCAGCCCTGGGTGATGGCACAGCGACGGTGCCAGCCATGGGTGGTGGCACAGGGACAGTGCCCGGCCTCCAGGGCAGAGCCAAAGCTGCTGGAGGGAAACCAGAAAGTAAAACCGGAATTCTTTTCTTTCTCTGCTTTGCTTGCTTTATTCTATCTCTTAAAAACTGACAATAAAATTTTAAAAATTAAAGCCCCCAAACATCTTCAGCATCATTCCCCAAGCAAAAAAGAAAAAAAAACCAGAATAAAAAGCAAAAGAAAGAACAGGTACAATAAAATTCCCTCATCCATAAAACCATCTACACCCACCCCTAAAGCCCCTCCTAAATCAATCAAATTGAATTGGATTGAATTGAATTGAATTGAATTGAATTGAAATGAATTGAATTGAATTGAATTGAATTGAATAGAATCGAATCTAATGTAATCTAATGTAATTTAATCTAATATTAATCTAATCTAATCTAATATTAATCTAATCTAATATAATCTAATGTAATCTAATATTAATCTAATCTAATGAATGGAATGGAATGGAATCTAATCTAAAATCTAATCTAATCTAACCTAGTCTAGTCTAGTCTAATCTAATCTAATCTAACAAATATAATCTAATCTAGTCTAGCCTAGTCTAATCTATCTAAGCAATCTAATCTAGACTGTTTCTAGTCTAATTAATCTAATTAATCAAATCTAATTTAATCTAATATAATCTAATCTAATTTAACCTCCCATCTCTAATAGAGCCGTAAAGGGGCCAGAGAGTCCCAATCCATGAAGTTTCCGGCCTCCTGCTCGCCGGGGATGCAGCTGGGCAGGTTCCCTCTCATCTCCTCGTGCCACGCGGCCTCCAGGAACGCCGTGGCCATCAGGGTTTCATCCAGGCCTGGTTTAGCAGGGCTGGGCTCAGCGAGGGCCTGGGGCCAGCCCCGTGCCCTGCTGGGGTGCAGGGGGAAGGTTCCAGGCTGCCCCAGAGCACAGAATTCCCCCTGCTCCGCGGGGGCATCCAGCAGCGCTTCCCACTCCGTGCTGCTCTTCAGCTCCGTCAGCTCGCCCGGCCCCTCCTGGCACCCCTGGGCACCGCTGGGTGCCCAGGGTGCCTCTGCCCAGGGCTGCTGGCTCTGCTGGGCCCCTCGCTGGCAGCTCTCAAACTCCTCGAACTCGCACAGCAGCCGCTGCAGCTCCGCGCCCACCTCGAGGCCGCCGCGGGGGACGGAGGCGGTGGCGGCGCCGGCGGGGCTGGGGACACGCCGGGGGCCCTGCTGGGCTCTCCTGGAGGCTGGGACAGGATCTGGAAGGGCCCTGTGGGACAGAGCTGTGTCACCGTCGTGTTTGGTGAAAAATCCTCTTTGCCCAGGGTGCTTCTCCTGGGAAGCTGAGAAGGCTCAGGGAAAAAGGAAAACAATTCGGGTCTCATTTGCTTCTCCTGTGTTTTGCTGCTTTGGAATGTGGTTGGAGATTGTTCCTCCAACTACATCTGCAAACAGGTGATTGTTTCATTGGTTTCTGCTGTGGACATTGGACACTGTTTGCAGGTGATTGTTTCATTGGTTTCTGCTGTGAATTGTTTGGAATTAATGAATTAATGGCGCCAGCTGGAGCCAAGATGTGTCGGACTCTGGAAGGAGTCACGAGATTTCATTATTATCTTGTTAAACCTTCTGTCTGTATCCTTTCTCTGTTATTTAGTGGAGTTTAATATAGCATTCCTTTATATAATATGAAATTATATATAATATAAAATTCTATATAACATAAAATTGCATAAAACATAAAATTATATATAACATAAAATTACATATAACATAAAATTATATAAAACATAAAATTCTATATAACATAAAATTACATATATATATAATTGAGGAGAGAAACTTCTGGGCTTTTTTTCCTTTTTTAGAAGACAAAGGATAATTTTGTCACTCTGTCAACAGCAGGGCACGTTCCTACACTCCAAAATTTCCCTTGAACTTTGAAACTGAGAGGGTGACCTGAGAGTTGTCTCTGTACAAGGATTAGCTGCAAGTTGTAAAACCAGTAAAATGAATATGCATGAACCTATTATGAGACCTTATGCATATGTACAACCAAGGGGGGATTAAAAAATATATATATATATTATAATATATATAATATAAAATTATATATAACAACATAACAATGAGCCTTCTAAGTACATGGAGTCAGATTCATTCCTTCCTGCCATGGGGGACCCCAGAAAATATCACATCTAATAATGACTTTCATTCTTAATAATGACTTTCATTCCTAATAATGACTTTCTTTCCTAATAATGACGTTGTTTTCTTTCCTTGGCTCAGCTCCAGAGCCCCACTGAGGGGTGTTTTACCAGGAGCAAGGACCTCTTGCCCTAACTAAATTTTTTCTCTGTAAAGAGTTTTGTTATTTTGCCCTTTATTAAAACTTTTCTGTTTCCAACACTGCCACAAAAGCCATCCTGCTGATTTTTTCCATCTGAAATAGCTAAGCTATCTCAAACATCACCAAAATCTTATAAAATCTAGCTTGAAGAGACCCATATATCAGTGGATTTGGGTTTTTTTCCCTCTTGCACCTAGCTCAGTTTACTCTATAGAGTTTTCTTATTTTGCTTTTATTAAAACTTTTCTGTTTCCAACACTGTCACAAAAGCCATCCTGCTGATTTTATCCATCTGAAGTAGCTAAGCTATCTCAAACATGATACAAATCACCAAAATCTTATAAAATCCAGCTCAAAGAAACCCATATATCACTGGATTTGGTATTTCTCCCTCTTGCACCTAGTTTGGTGTACTCTATAGAGTTTTGTTATTTTGTCTTTTATTAAAACTTTTTATTATAACTTTTCTGTTTCCAACACCACCACAGAAGCCATCCTGCTGATTTTATCCATCTGAAATAGCTGAGCTATCTCAAACATGATATAAATCACCAAAATCTTATAAAATCCAGCTCAAAGAAACCCATATATCAGTGGATTTGTTTTTTTTTTTCTGCAAATCACCTGTGTCCTTTGAGGGTGCTGCTCTTGAGCCACTGGGCATATTGGGGGTGAAGCTTCCAGAAGGCTCCTCTGCCCGGCTCCCCCTTCTCACGGGGCACCTTGACAAAGCGCTTGTTGATGCACAGGTTGTGCCTGATGGAGCTCTGGAGGCAAAAAAAAAAAGGAACAAACTTTTAAAATTTCAACATTTTAATAGTAATAAAATGGTTGTATAATGGTTGTATATAAAATAGTAATATAATTAGAGTAAGAAAAACTTGGACAATTAGGATTTAGGACAAGATGAGACAATAAAAACAAAGAGTTATGGATGGTCTCGGTACCTTTTGCTGGGCAAAATAAGCCCAGAAAACAGAGGATTAACCCTTAAAAGCAACAGCCTGTTGCATATTCATGCACCTCATGCATGATGCATAAATTCCATTCAAACACAGGATTCTGGCTGGGCAGTGTCAGCTTCTTCCTCTGAATCCTGAGGTGTCTTCAGGGCTGAGCGAGGCGGGAATGTGAAAAATGCCAATCATTTCTTTTTAAAATTTTCAAAATTTAATAGTAATGAAATGGTTATAAAAATAGCAATATAATTAGAGTCATAAAAATTTGGAAAATTATGATTAGGACAATATGAGACAATAAAAACAAAGAGTTAGAGATGGCCTGGGGACCTTTTACTGGGCAAAATTAGCCCGAAAAAGGACCCACGTTAACAGAGGATTAACCCTTAAAAACAACAGCCTGTTGCATATTCATACACCTCATGAATGATTCATAAATTCCATTCAAACACAGGATTCTGTCTGGGCAGGGTCAGCTTCTTCCTCTGAATCCTGACGGTGCCTTCAGCGCTGAGCAAGGCAGGAATGTGAAAAATGCCAATCAATTCTTATTAAAATCTTAAAAGTTTAATAGTAATGAAATGGTTATAAAAATAGTAATATAATCAAAGTAATAAAAATTTGGACAATTAGGATTTAGGACAATATGAGACAATAAAATGGATGGTTCAGGTACCTTTTTCTGGGCAAAATAAGCCTGTAAAATGACACACATTAATAGAGGATTAACCCTTAAAAGCAACAGCCTGTTGCATATTCATACACCTCATGAATGATTCATAAATTCCATTCAAACACAGGATTCTGGCTGGGCAGTGTCAGCGTCTTCCTCTTAATCCTGATGGCCAAGGTGGGAAGAACTCGATAGAAAAGCAATAAATTCTCTTTCTCTGAAAGATTCTGGTGTCCTGTGGCTGCTGTCTCGGTGGGAGTCCTCCCCAAAAAAAGAATCCTACATAGCATCGTTTCTATTTTAATATTATGCTAAAACATAAAACTACATTTAACACACTACTTAAGAAAATTAATACAACATCACTTTCTAACATAACACATATAATATTCATTTGAATATTTGTGAAAAGCCAATCATAAAATGCACATTTTTCACAATATTTAACACACCACTTAAGAAAATTATTACAGCACAACTTTCTAACACAACACATACAATATTCATTTTAATATTTGTGGAAAGCCAATCACAAAATATGCATTTTTCACAATATTTAAAACACTACTTAAGAAAATTAATACAACACAAATTTCTAACGTAACACATAAAATATTCATTTGAATATCTGTGGAAAGCCAATCATAAAATGCACATTTTTCACATCCAGGACCGGGGGCTGTGCAGAGCCCTGGGTGGCCATGGAGGGCTCCAACATCCTGTCCCAGGTTATAAAGCAAATTGGATTCTGTTTTTCATCTGTATGGCAGTTGTCTCCTCCTCAATGGGCAGATTTCCTTATCTCTTTCACACCCACTCCTCCCTTCAGGGGGGACATCTGCTGATAAGGGGCCATTGAATGTCACTGCGTGTCTGATAAGAATTATTGTTTATTATGATATTTTCTGAAAAATCCTCTTTGCCCAGGATTTTTCTCCTGAAAAGCTGAGAAGCCTCAGAAAATAATGAAAACAACAATTATCTGATTGCTTTGGAGATCTGGAGATCGTTTACCAACAGGTGCATGTTTGATTGGTTCCATGTGAATTGTTTTAATTTAATGACCAATCACAGCCAGCTGTGTCAGACTCTCTGAGTCAGGAGTTTTTATTATTCTTTCTTGTTAAGCCTTCTGATGTATCCTTTCTCTATTTCTTTAGTATAGTTTTAATATAGCATTGTATAATGTAATGTAATGTAATGTAATGTAATGTAATATAATATAATATAATATAATATAATATAATATAATATAATATAATATAATATAATATAATATAATATAATATAATATCAATGATATCATTAATATAATTTATATAATATAATAGCATAAATTCTATATAATAAAATACCATGATATTATGAAATATAACAATATAATATCATAATATATTATCATTATAAATCAGTCTTCTGAGAACAAGGAGTCAGATCCTCATCTCTCACCTTGTCCTGGGGACCTCACAAACACCACAAACTACAGCATCCCATTGGGAGATGCTCCACCCAGAGGGAGGAGCCAAGAATTCCTACCTGGATAGAACCTGAGGTTTCAAACATTCCCACCTGGATACAATCTGAGGTTTCAAACATTCCTACCCAGATAGAATCTGGAGATTCTGGAACACCAGCACAGCTTCTCCACTGGATTCCCAGAGGAGCAGCAGCTGCCTCTTCCACTGGATCCTCAGAGGAAGATTCCACCCTTTCCTACAGGATCCCTGCTCCAGCAGAACCATGCCTGACACTGCAGGAGGGCTGCAGCCACAATTCCAATGGGACTGACACCAACACCCTGACCCACAGGGTGTCAGGTTGGGTTCTGACTCTGGCAGTGTTATTTTAGTTTACTGCATTGTTCATTTTATCCTTTTATTTTCTTCCCTATTAAAGAACTGTTATTTCCTGCTCCCATATTTTTGCCTGAAAGCCCCTTAATTTAAATTTTATAACAATTCAGAGGAGTGGGGAGGGTTCACATTTTCCATTTCAGGGGTGGGTCCTGCCTTCCTTAGCAGAAACCTGTCTTTCCAAACCAAGAGAAACTGTTATTTCCTACTCACATATTTTTTGCCTGAGAGCCCTTAACTTAAAATTTATAGTAATTTGGAGGGGAGGAGATTTAAATTCTCCATTTCAGGCGAGGGTCCTGCCTTCCTTCCTTAGCACACACTTGGCTTTCCAAACCAAGACAAACTGTTATTCCTGCTCCCATATTTTTAATAAAAAATTTATAGCAATTCGGCTAAGGGGAGGGTTTACATTCTCCATTTCAGGGGAGGCTCCTGCCTTCCTCAGCAGACACTTTCCAAACCCAGACACCTCCTCCTACCTGCCAGCTGGGGTGGGCACGGCGGAAATAGCAGAAATTATCGCTGATCCACTTGCAGATGGCAGCCAGGGTGAGCTTGGGCTGCTGGCTGGCTTCCATGGCCATGCAGATCAGGGTGGCATAGGAGTAGGGTGGCTTGACGTGGCTGTTTGTCCTGTAGTCGATGTCCCCTGGGGGTCCAGGTGGGGTCACAGCCCGGGGCAGGCTCGTGGTGACCAGGGAGGACGCGGGCGAGCGCGGGATGTCGATGTAGTGGCAGAGCTCCTCGGAGGTCAGGGGAAAACCCGGGCTCTGGAAGTCCACCAGGCTCACCAGGTTCTCCCAGATGCTGCAGCGGTCCTCGGGGTCCTGGGAGATGGGGGCCAAGCCGAGGTGGGCGCCCGTGAGGTCGGCCAGCCACAGCAGGTCGGGCTGGGCACCGCGCCGCTCCTCCTGGCCGGAGCCCTGAGCTCTGGGCACGGGGCTGGAGCACACCATGGCTCACAGCGCTGGGTGGATGCTGCAGGAGACAAAGGGCAGAGTGAAATAAGAGATTTTTTCATGGCTCACAGCGCCGGGTGGATGCTGCAGGGGGAAGGGGCACTGTGACCGTGTTCACAGGGGTCTTATGGTGAGGGAAGAGATGAGGATCTGACTCCATATTACAGAAGGCTTGATTTATTATTTTATGATGCATATTACATTAAAACTATACTAAAAGAATAGAAGAAAGGATCTCATCAGAAGGCTGGCTAAGAATAGAATAACAAAGAATGATAACAAAGGCTCTGTCTTGGACTCTCTCCGAGCCAGCTGGGCTGTGATTGGCCATTAATTACAAACAAGCACATGAGACCAATCACAGATGCACCTGTTGCATTCCACAGCAGCAGATAATCAATGTTTACATTTTGTTCCTGAGGCCTCTCAGCTTCTCTGGAAGAAAAAATCTTGAGGAAAGGATTTTTTATAAAAGTTATCTGCGACAGGGCACAGTGAAATAAGAGATTTTTCATGGCTCACACCACTGGGTGGATGCTGCAGGAGGTAAAGGGCACAGTGGATTAAGAGATTTTTTGTCGCAGACATCTTTTATGAAAAATCCTTTCCTTAGGATTTTTCCTCCTGAGAAGCTGAGAAGCCTCAGGAACAAAATGAAAACAATAATTATCTGCTGTTGTGGAATGCAACAGGTTGATCTTTGATTGGCCCATCTTAGATGTTTGTAATTAATGGCCAATCACAGCCCAGCTGGCTCGGACAGAGAGCCAAACCACAAGCCCTTGTTATTCATTCTTTGCTATTCTATTCTTAGCCAGCCTTCTGATCAAACCTTTTCTTCTATTCATTTAGTATGGTTTTAATGTAACATATATCATAAAATAATAAATCAAATTTTCTGAAACATGGAGTCAGATCCTCATCTCTTCCCCAATCCAAGAACCCCTGTGAACACGGTCACAATTTTTCATGGCTCACACTGCTGGGTGGATACTGCAGGAGGAAGGGGCACAGTGGAATAAGAGATTTTTGGAGTTCACTTGTGTGACCGTGTTCACAGGAGTCTTAGGATGAGGGAAGAGATGAGGATCTGACTCCATGTTTCAGAAGGCTTGATTTATTATTTTATGATATATGTTACATTAAAACCATACTAAAAGAATAGAAGAAAGGATTTCATCAGAAGGCCAGCTAAGAATAGAATAATAAAGAAATTATAACAAAGGCTCTGTCTCAGACTCTGTCCGAGCCAGCTGGGCTGTGATTGGCCATTAATTACAAACATCCAACATGGACCAATCACAGATGCACCTGTTGCATTCCACAGCAGCAGATAATCATTGTTTACATTTTGTTCCTGAGGCTTCTCAGCTTCTCAGGAGGAAAAATCCTAAGGAAAGGATTTTTCATAAAAGATGCCTGTGACACACTTGAGTTAGCAATGTGAATTAAGTGTTTTAATTTTTAGCTTGTAGAATTATGTGTTGAGTTTTAACTGTTTTGCTTAAGTACTAAGGGCATAGGAAAATGCAAATTTCTGAAGCTTCTTGCATAAAGAACAACACGGGGAGAAGACCAAGTGTCACTGACATATTTTATGAAAATCCTTTTGCTAGGATTTTTCTCCTGAGAAGCTGGGAAGCCTCAGAAATGAAATGTAAACAATAATTATCTGATGGCTGTGGAATGTGGTCTGGAGATGGTTTACCATCTTTGATTGGTCTCATGTGATTGTTTTTAATTAATGACCAATCACAGGTCCAGCTGTGTCAGACTCTGGTCAGTCACAAGATTTTATTATTCATTCCTTTCTAGCTTTCTGATGTCTCCTTTCTCTTTCTTTAGTATAGTTTTAATAGCATTCTAAAGCATTTTTAATATAATATTATAATATATAATAATAATAATAGCATTTTTAATATAATATATATAATAAAATAATAAATCAGCCTTCTGAAACATGGAGTCAAGATTCTCATCTCTTCCCTCATCCTGGGGACCTGCAAACACCACCACAACCAAGGGATGCAAGGAACCCAGATAAAGGGGCTGATAAAGGGGTTCCTCTGTCTCCAGGCTCATCAAGACCAACAGACGTACCCAGATCAGCACCAAGGGACCAAAAACACAAAGGAGAAAAGTTCAAAAGTTCAGTCATGAGGAAGACCACAATCTCCAGCCTCAGAGATTTCAAACATTTCTGCCTGGATAGAATCTGAGATTTCAAACATTCCTACCTGGATACAATCTGAGGTTTCAAACATTCCTACCCAGATACAATCTGAGGTTTGGGACACCCCCAACAAACTTTGCCCAGTGCATTCCCAGAGGAGCAGCTTCTGCTGCCCTGCATGGCCAGAGGGAGCCCAGGCCCATCTCCAGCAGCCCTGGAGCTGCAGAGGAAACTCCCCCCTTGTGCAGGATCCCTGCTCCAGCAGAACCACAGCTGGCACTGCAGGAGGGCTGAGCCCCCATGGGATGGGGCTGTGCCACCCCCCTGACACACAGGGGACAGGGCCTGCTGTCACTCTGGCAGGGTTATTTTCTATTACTGCATTGTTTATTTTATTTTTATTTTCTTCCCTAATAAAGAACTGTTATTCCTGCTCCCATATCTTTGCCTGAGAGCCCCTTAATTTCAAAATCAAAATAATTCAGAAGGAGGAGGTTTCCATTTTCCATTTCAGGGGAGGCTCCTGCCTTCCTCAGCACACACCTGATTTTCAAACCAAGACTGGGTTGCTGCTGGGTTTTGGCTGACACGGCTGGGTCCAAGCCCCTCCTGGCTTTGGAGCTGTGGTGCCAAAACTCCAGCACCAGCTGGGGGTGGCTGGGGCAGCTGAGACATAAACTTTAAGGAATTTGGAGATTTTACAGAAGCTAAGCTTTTAGTTAGAGATAAGCTTTGTTTGAGTTAATTGAAATAAATGGGTAGGCCTTGATGAAGTTAAGAGTTAGTAGTTAATTAATAATTGATTGCTTGTCAGCACAATGTTTGGTTAGCTGGGTTTCTAATGAAGAATATAGAAACTGATAAATGGCTTTTAGGAACATCAGACAATTGTAGGGCTCCTCTGTTCTGAAACCAATTGAAGACGGGGAATGGGAGTTCTACCAAGGGTTCATTTGTCAGATTTGCATTGAAAGGGTAGAAAGGTCAGAATGAGGAAGACTTGGTTTACTTCCTCATTTTGGGACCCCTTCCCATGAAAGGGACCCCATTTCAAGGAACAAACTGCACATGCTTAATGGCTTTGAACTAATTACCATGCTTAATAGCTTTTGAACTAATTACCATACAAAGAGGGGAGTGGGATGTACCAGAGTTATGAATATGTATTTGTATTTTGGGTATTCAATATTTGTATAGATAAAAGGACTCTGTAATCACCTGTAAATTGCAGTGTGTATTTGGGAATTATCCTGCAATAAACATCCACTTTCTCACTCTAAACTGTTAGAGAGTTTTTGGATATTGGTACTAGATCAATATCGATATGGGAATGGGATGTACCAAAGTTATGAATATGCATTTGTATTTTGGGTATTCAATATTTGTATAGATAAAAGGACTCTGTGATCACCTGTAAATTGCAGTGTGTATTTGGGAATTATCCCACAATAAACATCCACTTTCTAACTCTGAACTGTTAGAGAGTTTTTGTCTGTCACAGTTGGATATCGGCACTAGATCAATATCAATATTTTTTAATAAATCAGTGGAGTCTATTTATTCTGTATATCGCTTCAAGAGGGTTGAGGTTCTGCGAGGTGCAGCCGCTGCCTCACACCCAAACAGGAGTTCCTGGAACACCTGGGGCCTGGCTGGGTGACACCTCTGGGTGTTGGACACGGAGCTGCACACCTGCCCTGGGGGGTTTCACAGCCCTGAGCCTCGGGAAATTCCCTCTAAGTCCCCTAAACCCACCAGGCTGGCACTGCCCAGCGAGGTTTTGGCAGGAAAGAAATCAGCATCTCCTCCCCGCCCTTAAACAACACAAACCCAGTCCTGCATCCCACCGAGCGAGGCTGTTCCTCACAGGTAGCAGAAAGCTCCAACACCTCGACACATCTCAGGATCCAACACCTCCACCCTAAAAACCTCATCCATCCCCCTATCCCGTCCCTGCCACCAATTTCCTCCCCTTTGCTGCCATTTGTTTGCCATCCCTCCCATCCCCTGGTCCCCAAAACCAACCCGTAGCAGGGAGCGACCCCAAGCCCAGCGTCCCTCCGAGCGAGCGGCAGCTTCAGCCTGCGGGGAGCGGGGATGCTGCGCTGGTTCCGGCTCCGCGCTGCAAATCCGGGATGTTGCCGTGGCTTTTGGGCCAGCAGAGAGACAGGGAGGGAGGGAGAGGGAGCGGCCGGAGGGCAGCAGCGGCCGCTGGCCCGGCGGAACCGGGGCGGAACCCGGGGCGCGCGGGGGACGCCGCCGTTTGGGGCGGGCGGCTCGCGGGCGGCTCCCGGGAACGGGCATTCACTCGCCCCGTGGCCAAACGGGCTCTTTGGATACTTGCCAGGCTCAGCGGAGCGGCGGCACCGAGCCCCGGTAGCGGGGGAGCCGCGGCATCCCCGGAGCGCTCCCTCCTCGCCCGTTCCTGCAGCCCCGGGAGAGGCGAGCGAGCCCGGCCGGGAGGGAGAGCGCGGAGCGTGGAAGGGCAGGAGCGCAGGAGAGACGGGAAACCGGTGCGGGGAAAGGAGGAGGAGAAAGGGCAGCGAGACCGGGAATGGTGCCCGGGGGTGCCGGGGGACCCGCGGTGCCCAGAGCGGGGCCGCGGCAGCGGCCCCGAAGGCGATGTCCAGCCCTGTGTCCTGCCCTGTGTCCTGCCCTGTGTGTGTCCTGTGTCCTGTGTCCTGTGTCCTGCCCTCTGTCCTGCCCTCTGTCCTGCCCTGTGTCCTGCCCTGTGTGTGTCCTGTGTCCTGTGTCCTGCCCTCTGTCCTGTCCTCTGTCCTGCCCTGTGTCCTGTCCTCTGTCCTGCCCTGTGTGTGTCCTGTGT